AAGTTAATTATGTGAGAGTGGTTTTAGTGAAGTATTTTTGTTTAAAAAAATTGTGTGGTCAGGTGTCTACACTTCAAATGTGCGAGAAAAAGAAAAAGTTATGCTGAAACAAATTATGCGTATGCAACCTTATAACTGGGTATGGCGGCACATTTGGTTTTAAAGCATAATGTTTCCATAGTTCTTTCATGTGACGTCACAACAAAAAGCATATGTTACTTCTACAGCCTAACTAGGCTTAGAAAAGAAGAAAGAAAACGCGCAAATTCAGGCGATTTTCGTAAAAACTGCAACAACATTCCAGCCGCAAAACTTTTTTTGCTTTTTTGCCAGTTGACGTACAATCTGCTAAAAATATTTTAACCGTCTATAACCAAACATTTATGGAGAAAAATTCTTGCAAAATTGACAAAAAGCGACATTTTGGGGAGATTCAATCGTAAATTGGGCATCAAGGCTGTTGTGCTTATACATGACTGTACATTATGTCATTAAATACCTTTTCTTTTGATGTGGAAAATTTTATTCCTGTAAATTTTGTTTATAACAAAAAAATAAATTTTCATGTGCACAACCAACGTCAAAAGTGCGCATTGGAAAAGTGTGTACGTATGCGCTGCTGTCAGTCTCCTTGTCATCTACTAGTCTGCTACTTTTCTCATCGACTGCTGCAAAGCAAACGGCAGCAAGTATATAAACACAATTGGACAATTTTAAGCAACTTTCAATTCCCCTTTGTGTTGTAAGAGGAGAAAAAATTCCTTATCCACATTTTGGGAGCATTTTTGTTTTGTTCTGCTTACATGTCTGTTTCCGCAATTGGCAGTGCAGCGAAGTTTCTGCAACGAGTGAGTCGACACTCACAGGGAATAGTAGGCGAGGTAATCGTTGGGCTGCTAATATTATTTTAAGCAGAGTTCGAGCTCACAAGTGTCTGATATGTTGTAGTAGCCGACGGGACTTGGTGCCACAACTTGAAAATGGGTGACGAAATGCAAAGTCCTGTGAAAAGCCTCCCAGAGTTGTCAACCTCGGAATTTAAAGGTGAGAAAATTATGCTAGAATTGACTGGTAATTTAAGGAGGCACTGCAATACAGCAAGATTGCTTGCATGAATCCCAATTTGCTGCGTTTTTTATACTTGGATAATCCTGCAAAATGCATCTCATACGAGTATATAGAGCATGCAGAATTTGCGAAATTCCTTATGTTTGCTTACATATTCATTAAGAGTGCAGTATATGACCTTGGGAACTTCTTGAACCTTTGCTATATCCGAGTACTTTTTGAACCTTTGCTACCACGAGCAGGACCACAACTTGTTCGGCAGAGTGGCACTTCTTTGCCACTTCCCATGGCAAAAGTGCATGCGATGGCATCAGCGGCACAATAATAAAACGTCTGGCAGCAAAAGCAAGCCCACAGAGGCCATATGGTGGTCAGATTCAGACACCACACGATTTATTTTTGTAGGCTACAAGCAATGTAGAGAGAATTTCAGTAATTTGGGTGCCTCATTCAACAGTTTAAGAGAAAAGAATGAAGTTCACTTCGAGATTCGCCATGGTGCTAGCTGTAAAAGAGATACGACAACTAGACTATTTGAGACTGTCCAGTCTTTCTGCCCTTAATGTTGGCCTTCTCCAAACTCGAAAAATTCAACTTAAAAAGCTGTTCTAATTGGCAATGTAGCATACTTTGATGTTAATGATTAGGGTGTCAACTATTATAAATGTGGGTTCTGTGGCATCCCATCGCTGCCACCACTGTTATGAATTCGCTGTGTCGCGATGGTAGCGGTAGCCAAGAGCGGCGAGCAGTCGAACGGACTTCGCTGAAGCCTTCGCCTGGAGGGGGAATAGGGAGGCAATCAGTTTTTGAAAACAGCAACAAGAAGGAGCATTTACTATAGCAGGTTGTCGTTTGTACAGAGCCAGCCAGCACGACAACGTCGACTGGGGCAAAATCCTCTAAACATGGGGCCAGCACGGCCTTAAATAATGTTTTTTGGTCCTTTTTGTGAGACCAGTTCCCGGTGCTCGGCGGAGGAGACGCAGCCATACCCGGAACTGCAAGGTGGCTCGGCGGAGGAGGCGACGCTATCCCCGGAACTGCACGGTGCCGCCTTCTGCGTGGAAGGTGGCGCTGGGAGGGGGGAGACAGTTCGCCGAAACAGCGCTCGATCTCGTGGGAACAAGCACTCCTGAACGAGGACCATGCTTGTGGCATAACACAACAGAGAACGACACATCACACAGAAAAAAATGAGGATGACAAAACATTGACGTCACGGGAGCCATAATTTTCTTTTTTTATTATTGGTAAAACATGAAGTGCTATTTTTCTGTGAATATCGAGTACCTTAGACAAGAAACAATTTGCTTCACGCATCAGTGGGAGATAAAATGAAGTAGAGTCAGCGAATGGATACTGTTGCTCGCGTTTTGTTCGTTGGCATTACCCTAGTGCCCAGAAAGCCAGCTATGAAGAGAAACTAGCAAGTTGGTTCTAATTATATACATTGATACGAAGCGACCTAACTATAACTTATTTGAACAACTGATGTGGTCCTGATGCAAGCCGGAAAAAATCCCCAAGAACGAGCAGGTGCTTTACAGAGAAGTGTTGCGCCTTTAATTCGTCGTCAATATGCAGTCCATGAGAAGCATAGCCGGGGCGCGTTCCCATGACCTGAAACCCCAGTTGCCTTCTCTTGGAACGAGCGTCTAGCGGTGGGAAGCAACAAAGGGATAAGAATGTGGCAACTTATATGGTCCGCGAGCCAACGTTCCAACAGGCATTTCCTCCGTGATGGCTTGTCTGGGGTGGCGGCGCGGCCGATCGACCTCGCAGATAGTGACTAAGCGATTAAGTCACTAATCCTTTGCTGCCCTTTCAGAAAAAAAGGCAGTAAGCTCTAATCTGCCAACTTGCTCCGTGAAGGACCCCGCTGCCCCTCTCTTCAGTGAAACTGGCTGGAGGAACATTGCATCGGCAAGTGCAATGACTGTTCGGCAACCGTGTGTTGTTGGCTGATGCCATGAAGAGTGGTGTCATGTGAGTGATTAGTGTTTCAATCAAGAACGAGGAGTCTGATGGGGCTTGAAACAACACAGCAAAGTGCAGTTAGTCGCTCTGAACAATGATGTAATAGTTCATCCACCACGCTCGTAGTTTGCAGAACACTAACCTACTATGTTGTAAATGGCTGTACAAAGTGCCAGTAAAACAGTTTGTTTTTCGTTTCCCCAACTTGTCAGCAACGTTTCCTCCACCCAGAGTTTCTCCACGCTACCACAGGAGTACGGGTTCAACGTAACCCTGACGTCTCGGCAACCAACGTCAGTGGGGGTGCATCGGTGAGACCCCGATCCACAATGAAAGAGAGACATCGCTATACTCCCTACCCCTGAGATTGGTTGTGCACATCAAAATTTATTTTTTCTTTTTAAACAAAATTTACGGGAACAAAGTTTTCCACATCAAAAGAAAAGGCATAGGATCACATAATGAACTGTCTCATGTATTTTTTGCATGACCGCCTTGATGCTTAATTTACGATTGAATCTCCCCTAAAGGTCACTTTCTACAATTTCATAAGGATTTTTTTCCATAAATATTTGTTTATAGACATTTAAAATACATTTAGCAAATGGTATGTCAAGAGGTAAAAAGCAAAAAAAGTTTTGCGGCTAAAAGGTTGCTGCAGGTTTGATGAAAATTGCCTGAATTTGCATGTTTTCTTCCTTTTCTAAGCTTATTTAGGCCATAGAAGTAACATATGGTTTTAGTTGTGAGGTCACATGAAAAAAACAATGAGAACCAAATGTGTTGCCCTATCCGGTTTGAAGGTTGCATGAGCATAATTTATTTCCGCCGAACTTTTCCTTTTCGCTGGCACTTTTGAAGGGTGGTCACGTGACGACACAATTTTTTTTAAACAAAAATACTTCACTCAAGTCACTCTCACATAGCTACCTTTCAGCTAAATGTTTTTCAGCAGAATCACTGGTGGTCGAAATTTGGGCTGGGACGTTTTACTTGGAATGAGCCACCTTGAAAAAGTAATTACTCTCAGACCCGATTATAACAAAGTTGCATCTTACACGAAAATAAGTGCGTTATAACCAAACATTCGTTATGAAGGTATATTTCTAACACTATACCTATAGCAAGAATGTTTTTCATTTACTTTGTTATAACCAATATTTTGTCATATCTGGATGCGTTAGGCCGAAGTTTGCGTGTACAGTGTTTTTAAAAGCCAGCTTCGGTTATTACTTTACCCCCCATCACAACACGCCATTCTGGAAGTTTTTGGTGCCCGAAGTCATCACAACTAGCCTGACTGCTGCATGAAGTCGTCACAATTAGTCCTTCAGCCCGTTGTAAAGCCAGTGTCTATGTCAGTAGGTGCGTAAAGCATTACTGATTGCAATATCAAAATAAAATACCTTAGCACTTCACCAGCTTCAGACTTGCTCAGAGCCGTCTCTCTATACAGAAAATTTGTATGGAAGAGCAAACACGCCTTTGTAAAATGATGACAGCACCTCTTTTGCAGAGAAAACGAGAACGAAACTACATGTCTTAGTTATCTTGAACCTGCTCCTATTTTAATTTTCAACGGTTACACATAAATTCTTTCCACTGTTCATACAGTGTACACAGCTCAGCAATGGACACCTGACAACTGACCTGCAATAGTGGCCAGTACTTTTTGCGACACCTGTGAGTACTGGGTGATTTCCGAGTGGGGGGAGGGGGGGGACTACACTCACAACACATCGCATAAATTCTGTATTTTATTGTACACCAACATATATGGCCTCAATTCCCAGTGCTCACCTTCACCAAAAAAGCATGGGCCGAGTATCTCTAAGCCCTATGAAGCACTTGACATTTCCATTAGGATCAGAGCAGTAAACTGTATGAGACAGCACAATGTGAGTGATTGTCGTTCTTGTTATCTTATACAGAGAAAAAGAGAAGACGCACAGTTCATAAATAAACAGTTTATTATGTACATATGTATATGTCTATATATATATATATATTTATAATTGTTCACAGAAGCGACCTTTGCTCAACACAGTAAATACATATGTACAAGAACAAAATAAAACTGTGACATTCACACTTTGAAACTGCACTAGCGGTCGTCCTGCACAAAAAGCTGTACAGCTCGTCTATATTGCACACGGACATGGGCAAAAAAAAAAAATATGCTTTTACAAAACTGAGTGCTATATAACTCATTGTTTAGTCTAACCTATGACAGCACTGCATTGAAAAAAACTGACACGTGCACTAGAAATGCTTGGCCTGCATATGCCACCGACCTGAGATGGCAGAACATTTTAAGGTACCACATGTCTCCTCTTCACAAATGAAAACTACAAAAAATGAATAGACGCACAATGTCTATAAATAGGCACTTACAGAAAAACAAACACGCACAGCAAGGAGTCATGGCAGGAGGATCACTTATGCAGAATCTAGAAGAACAGGGCATATGCTCACTTGGCGATCTTCTATGCACATAGTGCCATTCAGTTGTGCGCTTGATCGCAACATTAAATTGCCTCTATATCACATGCAAAGAACTGCAAGAAGCTAGCATGCACATCACCTTTCATTTTTTTCATATCTAATACTGGTTAAAACAAATGGTAAACTCCTTCAAATATGTCTGCTTTTTGAAAAAAAGTAATATAGTGTGCGGTGTGTGGTTAGACTTATACCATAACTTACTTCGTAACATACAATGCTGACACTGCGGCACCCAATATAATGTGGCCAACACTGAAATACTGTTCTCACATTGCATAACTAAACATAGCTCACACACACACCACATCCATAATGTTTGCCCTGGTCTGGCTCACTTTACGATCGCAACAACATTATAAAGCCACTCTATGGTAAATGGTAAGGCTCCTGTGTAGATAGCTTTGCTGCAATGTACATTCAGGAATGGGAATTCTAAAGCCTCATTTCTTCTTTGCATCCTAGTACACTCAGTAACCTCCCACTTAAGCAGAAAATAGAGACAATACTTGCACTGCCCAGTAACTGTCTTATGGCTGCTATGTGGGAGCAATCTGATCAACAGTAGAAACATCAAATAATTGAAATTCTAGAGCTTGCACAGCAGCATCCATTCAAAGGCATTATGGTGCAGGGCTACTTGTAAAGCTTCTCAGGCCTTGCAAACTGTCGTGCGACTACTATAAAGGTTGAAAGCACACTACATTAGAACAGCATGCTATGAGCTTTGTACCATGGCAGAACATTTAAGTAGGAGTGCAATCTCAAAACAGTCAAACACCACAGCACTGTTCAATGCAGAAATCTGTTCTGTTTCAGATTCTGGCTCAACACAGTGTTAAACAACCAACTTCAACCAATACCATAAAAAAAAAAGCCATGCTCTACTAACACAAATTCATAAAAATGCTAAACTAAGGGCACAGCCCAATATGCACCAAATATTGGTGCTTTAGTTTGCCTTTCACTGTACACACCTGCGTTTGTCACCTATGTACAGGGACTCCACCGGGCAACATTCTTGGGCGCCTCACACATTTCACAAGACTTCCTGCATGTCAAAGCAACTGCAATGAGCACACTGGCATGCACAATTAGATATGTAGCTCTCCTACCAAGCAAAACCAGCACAAGCCTGCAAAATATTAAAAATGATGTCAACTCTGCATACAAAGCACACTAAAAAGTGAAAGGCTAAGACACACGTAGCACAAATTTTCATTGAATACTACATGATACTATATGCACCTTCAACTCCCCTTTGCACACATGTTTTGTGCGTGATATATACTAAGTCAAAATGGTGAAACTCATTCTAATCCCCACAGATGTAAATTGATCTGTTGTGTAAAGACTACGGTCTCATAAACAACTCATGCAATGGCCGATTTTGCAGTTCTTGCCAGACTCTGCAAAAGGCATTTAAGATGAAAACATGAACAAACATTGAACATGTGCGAGCATATGTGATTATATTGGCAATCTGCTCAATTTTTTTTTTTCAATTTCATTCTCAGAATTATTTGCCACCTTTTTTTTTTTAGTTAATACAATACTAACTCAGTGATACAGCTTCCCAGGTCATCTAAAACAATCTTATTAGCAAATTTACTGCTAAAGAACATGAACCAGAAAGTTTACATGTCTAAGAAGTGCAATACACAATGAAGAGCAATAGTTGCATATGATGCAGTCAACAAAAGTAAGTTTATGGCTGAATGACACATTTGATCCTTCTGCTCCTCAGAACGGAGAAATAGTTTGGTGCCTACAACGAACTTCTATTCGCACAACTGCCACCTGCATCCTAACTAGCAACACAAACATCTAAAAATGGCTTGTGGCTCATGCAACCAATGACCTGCATACATACAATCTGTCCTTGAATAAATACACAGCTGGCCTGAGTAGTGCAACACCGCAAAACTCGACTATACTATAATGTGTAATCACAGCAAAAGGCATAATAAATTAAGCATGCACATGTGAATAAAATTTTAATGATACTGCATGATAAGTGTTGAATAACCAATATAAAAAAGAAAACTGCAGAGAGATGCTCGGAGACAAAAAACCTAGCCTATTTTTTATGATGATGTGGAATAAGACAAACATACCTAAATCTTGTTCATAATATACAAACAGAAATTTCCACGGTTTCTGTGTGTACAAGAAGCTGATGAACTGAGCATAAGAAATAATGGTAGACACAAACTACAGTTTCGTAGCTTTACATAGATTATCTTAACAATTCAGAAAGGTTCATTTGCTTGTTGCCCCATTAAAGCGCTCCTCACCAGGCCCCGCTGAAAGTGTTGTTTATGTACTGTAAGTTATAAAATGCTGTGGAGAGAGAGTTCTGCTGAAATAATTTCTTATATCAGTTTGTTACTGCAGGAGTTGAAAGAAATTGAAAGTGTCCATGAGGCACTGACTACTGTCAACAGACGTTTTCGCTAGCATGCACGAGCAGCATTCTTTCCGAGTCCTTGTGTATCCCAGGGCTCAGAGATCGCATGATGTCTTTGCGACACACTCCTGTCACAGGCTTATGTAATAAGTTTATGCGGGCAATGAGCGGTAGTCACATTCCATAGTTAGCAACTTCCCAAGTAGAGTGTGTGAATGAAAGTTCTTCGCTATTAGACATAAACACCGGTGTTTCGCAGGGAAGTGTGTTAGGCCCCGTGTTATTTAACATCTACGTAAACGACATAGTAAGAGTTAGCGAGAACGTCGAATTTTCAGTTTACGCCGATGACACAAGCTTGTTCCTTCAATCTGACGACGTATCTAATCTTAGTATACTAGCTCACGACGTGCTAGAAAAGCTACAAAAAAGGAGTGAAGTGAATTCTCTTGTTATCAATGCTGCTAAAACAAAGGCTGTTCTATTCAAACCAACTAATAAAAAAATATACTCTAGCTTAGACTTACACCTCGGTGACAAAGAGATTGGGATTGTACAAGACGTTAAAATATTGGGGGTCACTTTCAGTGAAGACTTAAACTGCGATTTGCATGTGTATGATGTTGCCAAAAAGCTTGCCAGGGCATGTGGAGTGCTTTCGAAATTCCAAGATATAGTTTCTCCAAAAGGTAAACTCCTCATTTATAATGCTTTATTTCACTCGCACATCAATTACTGTACCCTCGTCTGCGAAAACACCACGCAAAAGAAGAAATTAAAATTGATCAGGCTACAGAAGAAGGCAATACGACATATCGCAGGTGTTCCATACGACGCTCATACATCAACATTATTTACAACATATAACGTGCTCCAAGTAGAACAACTGTACAATTTCAATCTCTTTGCTAAATACAAACATGGTTTGAAAAGTAAAACCAATTTTCTGACACTGTGTCAGCTCAAAGAGTCACCCGCAACACCTTACAACATAGGGAAAAGAGACACATGGCAAATACCGTTTTCGCGAAAGAATTACGGCCTTAAAAGTCTTAAGCATATCATGCCGAACTTTTTGAATCGCCTAAACAACCAAGGCATACAACCAAGGCCTGATACGCTGACAAACAAGCAGTGGAAAGAATATTTAATTAGCAATCTCAGAGAGTCTGGGAATATGATCAATTAATCTCGAGTTCATTTTCACTATGTATTATTTTATAGTATCATATTCAATTTGATAATTCGTTTGAAAAGAAGTGAATTTTTGCCTTTTCATATGCACATGTACAAACATGAACTATTTTATGTATTTGTGTTTTCGTTATGCATACTGTTTCAAGGTAGTGTTTCTTATATATATATAAATTATGTTCTTTTGTATTCTTTCTCACTTTGTTCTCCCATATTATGCCGCATTCTTTCAGTGTTTGCGATTTTACATTATGTCTGCACTTGAAGTTTGCTACTAAAATTGTTGATATTTTACTTGCTTGTGTTATGCATCTTGTACTTTTTCTGTTTTACTTGCTTGTATTTTATTTCTTTTTTTTTTACATCACCACGTGTCTGCGGCCAATCTGCCCAGGGTCAGGAATCCCGTCAAGCTGCTTTTTAGTAGCTTTCAACTCCTGTCCTAGCATCTTTTTCACTTTTTAATCTGATTTACATTTTGTTTTGTGTTGACCATTGCCATTGTATGAAAACATTGAATCACTGTACTTTAACATGATTGCTGAAAAAGATTGCTAAATAAACTGAAACTGAGACGGAATCTTGCTGACAGTGCAGCCTTCTCAAGAAGCAGGGCATGTTTCCCTCTTTTAAAATTTTCATATTTTCATGGCACACCATTTCATACTTTGCAGGCACAAATGCCAAAGCATGATCTACATGCTAGGCTTGTTCGTTTGCATTACCGAGACCTCATGAATGACCTTTTAAAATAAGGTTGTGCAAATACTCTCTCAAATATCTTCCAAACAGTGTTTGTTATTCGATTTAATTTGCACCAGAATTTTACTATTCGAAGAATTTGAATTTACCAAAGACAAATACAGTCAACGCCCAATTGACAATGGCCCTTTGAAATTCAATATGCTTCAACCGACCAAACTCGCGCGTTGGGGCAGAGCTGCCTTTTAGACTGCTACGGTCGCAAATGTATTAATTCAGGAAAACGGTTCAAACATGGAGATGCACTGTGCCCCTACAATGACCCCTACATATTGTTTTTACATGCTTCACCATATCACATTCTGATATTGCAGCAAAGCTTCCTTTAAAGCTCCGCTATGGGTGTAAACAAATTTACTCACGAACGCGCTGGTTCAAACCTACTTGGCAAAAGTGGAGCTTTAATTAATGCCATTTTGAACCAGCTAGTCTGAAAAAATTAGACGAAGCTAAGTGAGGTGACCTTTGGTATTTGGACCCCGTGGAGGATGACGCATGGGCCTGGCGCTTCGCAGGTTGGAGGTCTTCCTCGTGTGTGGGCCTTGAGTACCAGTAATTCCGATTTTTCAGGTCCACAATGGAGGCCGCATCTATTGAGGTATTTCTCGATGACGCTGACCGCCTCCTGAAGGCCGCTTTCTTGCTCTCCAGTGGTCTTGCCTCACGTCAACAACGTAATATCATTCGCGTACATGGCGTGATGTAGGCTTTGTGTTTTTTTGAGAAGCAGGGGGAGCTTAAGGAGTGCCACCTCGAATAGTAGGGGTGACAAGACAGAGCCTTGAGGTGCACCCCTGTTCTGCAGCTCAAATTTTGTGCTCCTTCTGTTGTATATCACCACCGTGGCCGGACGATCGGTGAAGAAGCTTCGAACATAGCCATAAATTTTGGAACCACAACCGGTGTCTTCGAAATTTTGTGGTATGGCTTTATGGCTAACATTGTCGAAGGCGCTTTTGACATCGATGGCAAGAATGGTCGACTTGCTAGTATTCTTGCTCAAGCGATCAACAAGATCTTCCTTGAGGAGTAAGAGAATGTCCTGCGTAGAAAGCAGCTGGCGGGATCCAAACATAGTGTCTGGGAAGTGCTCGTTGTCCTCAAGGTGTGACGTGAGCCGGTCATGGATCATATGATGAAACAGTTTGCCAACACATCAAGTCAAAGAAAGGGGTCTTAGGCTGCCAACAGCTATAGGCTTGTTGGGCTTAGGCATCATGATAACCTCGAATGCTTCCACGCGGCCGGAAGTTATCCTTTGTCCCAGCAGTCGTTGTCCCAGCAGTCGTGGGTAGCTGTCTGAGGTGCTTGTTGAATATCCTGTCTTTGTTTAAACTAGTATTTTTTGACAGCTTAGAAAGAGTTGTTTGAAGTTCTGCTGGTGTGAAGGACCTGTCAAGGTCATCGTTGGGCATGGCTTTGTATTCTTTGTGCGGTGGTAGTATTGCCGCTTATTGGACAGGACCACGCAGCTTGTTGCACAGTGCGTGAAGTAGGTCTTCCTCCGAGCTATCATATAGTTGTGTTAGCTAATGTATTTGTTGCCGCTGCTGCGTCTTGGTGCGGTGGTCACCCAGCAGTGTCAGCAGGTGCCATGTCTGCTTGGTGCTGAGCGTACCCAGCAGATTATCGCAAAAGTCGCACCAGTTGTGTCTCGCTAGCTATTCGGCATACTGTTTCGACCCTTCTGTCAATAAAAAAAATTCTCTTTCAGAGTTTCTTCAGTTTTTGCCTCTTCCATCTCTTTAGTAAGGCTCGTATGGCCTCCCAGAGATGGAGTAAGAGGAAGTCTATTGCGGGATTGTCTTTGTTAAGTTGCATTACTTCGGTGCACCGTTGGGCGGTATCCAAAACTTTGGTGAGCGTCATCACTGTCGAGCTCGTTTCTAAAGGCGTTCCAATCTGTCAGTCTCGCTTGTTTTGGTAGGTCATTGGTCATTTCGATTTCGAGTTGAATTATGTCGTGATCGCTAACAAGCGTCTCGGAGAGAACAGGTTCATCCCGCCTCCTTGACGTCTCGTGTAACGGCGAGATCTGGCGTGGTATCTCTTGAGACACAGTTTCCCACTCTCCTGGGCTAGATTGATTGATTGATTTGTGGGGTTTAACGTCCCAAAACCACCATATGATTATGAGAGACGCCGTAGTGGAGGGCTCCGGAAATTTTGACCACCTGGGGTTCTTTAACGTGCACCCAAATCTGAGCACACGGGCCTCGACATTTCCGCCTCCATCGGAAATGCAGCCGCCGCAGCCGGGATTTGAACCCGCGACCTGCGGGTCAGCAGCCGAGTACCTTAGCCACTAGACCTCTCCTGGGCTAGAGCGGATCATTCAACAATGTGAGGCCATGCTACTGAGCGAAGTCGTGGACCTTCACGCCTTTCTAAGTGGTGATGACATAGCCCTAAGCTGTGTGAGGCATGTTGAAGTCCCCTATGAGTACTAGCTGGTGATCTTTCGTACGTTTTCACAGTTCGCGGTTGAAGTAATCGTAGCCCCTGAGCTGATCTCGCAGTGGGTTGTACACGTTAGTGACGTAGAGGCTTTGTTGCGATTTTCGTTCTGGTATGACTTCCACGATGGAGGGTTCAACTGTAGTGTCTTCTATCCTGTGAGCTTGGACCGCAGCGGTTTGCTTGAGTAGAATGGCAGTTTTTGGGGTTAGAGTCACAATGTTGTATCCTGTGAGCCGCACTTTTTCAGTGTTGTTCTCTTGTATAGCGATGAGGTCGGGTTAAATTACTTTTATATATTCTCCCAGATTTGCCAGCCTGGGTCTGTATGATCGACAGTTCCACTACCAAATGTGAAAAGTTGGTTGCAGAGTAGGAATCCTATTGTTAGAGCCTGCCATCTTCATGAATATGCTGTATGTTTACCTGCTCGCCTTCGGGAGAAATTGAGTGAGAAAAGTTTTCTCTCTGTGAACATGGTTTTTCCTGCCATGGCAGTCTTCAAGTTTCACGTGACTAATGTAGTTGTTTTTGACATGAGCCATGAAGTTTGTTAGCTGCGACTTGAGATAGTTAATTTTGGCTGTATGAGTGTCTATTCTACGACTGAGCATCGTGAATGTGTCACAGCTTTCGGCGGTGATGGGCTCCAACTTCGCCACGACGGGTGCTTCGAGCGTCCACTCAACTACTGCTGTGCATTTTGACTCTACTGTTGCCGTGAGCTGCCACTTGACAAGGGCGGTGACTTTAGTTTCTATGATGGACAGTACTTTGGCCTCCACGACAGCTTCAATATCTGGTGTGGTGAGCTTTGTGGCCAGTTGTTTAGCTTGGTGCTGTTCTTCAAGTAGTTGAGTAAAGCTCGCTATGCTTGTATTTTGCTTCTCGACAATCTTTTCTTGTTCTTGGCAGAGTTTTGCGAGCTAATGGACAACTACATCTTGTCTTTGGAGCTGGTCAAGCTGGCTTTGCAGAGCTTTCTACAGGTTCGAAAACATTTTTTCAAGATTCTCAAATGCAGTGCTCTCAGCAGATGAGCAATCTGGAGTGTTCTCGTTGTTTAGTGAAGTCGAATCTACCCGTGTTGCATCAGCATAATTGAGGCACTTGGCGGAGAGTGAGCGGAACCTTGTGCGAGACGTGGAGGGCGATTACAGAATAGACCTAGACTTGCTTCGGACACACTTGTCGTGCAGTACGCTGCTTGGTAAGGTGGTGGGTTTGATCTTAGCTGCTTCTTGCATTCCTTGCTGGTGGTTTCATGGGGTTGTCCGCATATTTTGCAGTTGGACATACATTTGTGATCTGCAGCAATGACATCTTGTCCACACTTGTAACAGAAGTCTTCTCTCGGCCTGGGACAGATGTCTTGTCGCTGCCCAATGGCACCGCATTTGTGGCAGAACTGCACAGACTTTCGATAGGTTTTATAGCAGCAGTATCCACTTTGGTACGTGATGCAGTACGAGATGTGCGGGCCATCAAAAGTGATGACGGCGGTGGAAAACTGACCAAGCATGTGAGCGCAAAGGACCGTGTATCGTGATTCGACTCTGATGCCAGCTACAATTTTGGCACTACTGGTGCCCGGGAGGAGTCAATAGATGACACCTCTGCATACATCGTCGGGATGTCTCACGTAGGGGTTCACACTGAAAATAGTTCCGCCTAACTCGATGGTAGCAAGGTTTCTGAGCTTGGTTGCACGTTCTGTGTCAGTAGTACTAGCAATAATGATGTTTTCAATGCTCTGCACTTCAACTCCAGCATTGTCATAGAAATCCTGTTGTGTGAGGCTGCTTGATCGTCCTGTAGCGTGAGTGATTGATGTTAAACTCCATTTCGATAAGCCGAGTCCGGCTTGTGGCCTGTAGACAATCTTCAAGTCGTCCGTAGAAAAGGGGGGCATCTTCAAGTTGCGTTGCTTTGATGGCTTTTGCATGGGCACGGGCTTTTTCTCAGGCTTTTTGTTGGATGCTTGAATCGAGTACAGCACTCTTTTTTCTTTGTGTTTGACTTGCAGACATTCTGTTTGACTTGCAGACATTCTATATGCTTTTTTCCTGTTGCTCTGCCGCTGTTGACATGAAAGGTCTATTTACGCCGATTTGCCTGTGGGGGTCTCGGCCTTCACGCCAGTTTGCATTGATGTTGGTTCATCTTGTGGTGCTGTAGTAGCCATCTGCTCGCTGTGAAATTCTATGGGGCGGGTAGCAAGAGATGCCTCCCTCTAATGAGGTTTTCTGGTTGAGAGAGCAACGCGAAGCTCCATCCCTGGCTTGCGCTGAGTAGGGGAGAGGTGGAGGAAATAGCGTCTTTTTCTTTCACGTGTAAAGTGTTGTCAACACTACATTTGTTGCATCAGGTAATGTTAATGAAAACAACTCAGTCCCTGCATTGCCTCATCCTTCACAAAACAACTAGGGAACACCATCCCTTCAATGCTTCACGAACCTAGCCAAAGTAAACACTTCCATGTTTTCATATTATAAGAATATGCTTAGGGATTTTCTCTGCAACCTTTTTTTTTATAATTTAACTTGAAAGTATTCAAAAAATATTAAGCAAACATTTGACAACTATTCGAACATATTCGATTTGATTCACACTCAAACTTTGATATTCGAATATGCTTCGCACTTAAAATTTTGCTATTCGCACACCACTACATTAAAGCCATCATGACAGGTGCCATTGCAATGTTCCTGGCCAGGGTCTGCAAATGTAGCAGAATCACTTGTGGATGCCAATCAATAGTTCTACTAACCTACATTACAGGTGTGACAATTGGTGTGGTAAGAAAAATAGTAAAAGAATTCCATGCATAGAAACTGTACAGCATAATTCCAATGGCTTTGAACGGAACGTCTATAGTGATGAGCAGCATCTTGAAGTACTTTTCATCACACCAGAACCATGCATTAAGCATCCAAAACCAACACCATTCATATCTGAATGAAGGATAGTAACTTCATGTTGTGGACAAATTGTGCGACTAGCACTGGGCCCAAAACATTAAACTAAATACCTTGAATCTATCTCAATAAAATGTCACATTATGTTACAATGCAGCAATTGCAAGAACTAGGACACAAGTAATATTTGACTTTAGGCATGCCACATGTACCAAATGTACACGACTGCTTTTGTGAATAGTGCATTACGCTAGATATCCCAAGCAATAGTTGACGACAAGATTCTTGCAGCAAGCTAGTATTTACGCATTTGTCCAATGAAAATAAAAGCACTAAGATAAGACATTGTTTAGCATCCGGCTCCTACTAGTTTCAAATACACCCCTGCTTTTTCGTGTGAAATTTGTAATGCCTCTAGTATTGTACAACAACCTTCATAGAAATCCCGGCTGCTGCAAAGCAATGTCCCCGCCTACACACCCCAGTGTAAAAGATACAAAGGGGCCATGTTTTGTAAAGATTCTTTTCCTTCAATTCTATTGCCTTCTTATCATCCACTGTGGCAAGTTGTCATGCATGCCAGTGAGGAAAGGCAAAACATGGCCCCGGCCCCACGTGAGTAACACTGACTTGCTACCTATCTCTGAAATTTTAACATTAGGACAAAGTCAGGCTAAGGAACAACATGCTGGTGCAATGTACAATGCCAGTGTGCCAAAACAGATGCTCAAGAAAGTGTTGTTGTGTGGGACCGTTGCCCTGCCATGGGCTGTGCCCTCCCATGAAGTGGCTGTGAAGACTCTGCCGCATTCCTCTCAAACTTCAGTGCAAGTGCAGCCACTCCTGTCGCAGGTCGTGTGTTGACTGGCGTGGGACGTGCGGGCAGTGGCCTATTTGGAAGTGGGTGTTGCAAACTGTTTGCCTCATTGTGCACAAAGGCAAGAGGAGTGCCAGAAAACTCTAGCGTTGTGCAGTCATCATATAAGGACCCATCAGGGGGTGCAGGAGGCCTTGGTGGTGGTGGTTGTGCTGGTCGAGGACCATTGCTGCGCTGGCTTGCCGAGCGTGCTACACGTGAGCGTCCACGCATGCTTCCCTGCATGAAGTTACACAGCAAGAATGTGTGATAAATAAAAGAACAGTGCTTTGTCAAGCAGGTCAGTCTAATTGCGTGAGAAAAAGGCATGTGAGCGTGTACACTGAGAATACAAGCGAAAAAATCTTCTGCAGCTAAAAAACCAGCTAACCAGAGCGACTGTTCAGAGTAAGCAGGAAAAGCAGTTGGGACACTGAGGCAGAGGGAATTCCTCAGATTGCTTTCAGCAGTGATGTTGAAAGAAACCATTATGACCGACGAGGACTTTTTACTGGACATAGAAGACTGTCAACGCACAGAGAGTGACAACGGCGGTGAATGATCCGCTGCTAACTCAGGAGGAGCGAGGCTCACTTTACGTCTCTTCGTGCATTAACGTTGTTTCACGCTCGTAAGTCACTTTGATTGTATTTATAGTACAATATCCTTCAAGGACGTCAAAATAAGAGCGTAGCTTTTTTGTGCATTGCATGTAACCCAATTACAGTAGATATTATGAAGCACCGCATGCCGCCAACACACTCGAGCTCGACCAGCGAAACCAAATGATTAGAGCAATTAAATGTGCAGTTTCGACTGCAACCCATGCATCTCTGCTTCTCCTGCACTTCACCAATCCCTTCCAAATGACGTTAGACGAATTTTCGCAATTTTAACATTGTAAAAAGCATACAAGCATATTCTATTCAATATTCTTATTTAGATCAGCCTGATGGAACCTGCAACATCTGAGTGCAGTGAATTGCACATGGTCAAGAGTCTGATCATGGCAGTGACACAAGCACTACTTAATGAGAAGTTAAATGCTTGTGTTTTATTGAAGAAGCAATTCCATGTTGCTGATAGCGCAGGTAATGATGATGGCGTAATGTGTCTGCAATCCATCGCCACATTAAACATTTGGTTCCATGCAGCCATGAGAGCGCACTACTCGCTAGCAGCCTACTACTACAGCAAATCTCTCAGGCAGGCTCGGTACCAGTTACCTCGAAGTGGCGTTTAGTTCATACATCAATTCTAGTTTGCGCAGTTTTCTGTAGCACGCACAGAATTACACAAGGCTTCATTGATGCACGATCGATCATCTGACATCACCAACCTACGCACTGCGACAAAAAATGAGGTAGCGAAGAATTACACAAGGCTTCATTGATGCACGATCGATCATCTGACATCACCAACCTACGCACTGCGACAAAAAATGAGGTAGCGAACATTTAGCAGTTCCTATTGTTTGGGAAAGTACTTTGGTTTGATATACATTCATTTAACGATCAAGAGTTCATCAGGTGAAAGCAGCACGGGGCACAATGTCCGTGCATGCTATCTTTTCCAGTGCGAGTTCGCGGGCTGACCCTCCTCCCACAGCCATCTTCCATTGTACGGCGTGCCACCTATAGCCTGTGGGCATTGCAAACAGCCCATTGCTACAAGCACGCTCGTGGGCACTAGCTCCAAAGTTTCATCGACTGCGCCATCCAATTCCTCCAAATCGCTTTTGCCGTGCACTTCATTCACAATGCCCTATCTGTGCACAGTTCTACTGTGTCGGTATCATTATCGGCCGTAATGAAATTATCGCAACAGATGTCCCACACGCCTTCCCACGTGGATGTCGACGACATGCTGCCACAAATTGCCGTCAAAGTGGTCTAGTTCAGAAGTTTAGGCTCGGCATCAGGTCCGACATTAACGAAGTCAGCCTCGCAAAAAGTTTCGCACATATTCAGCCTTCACTGCCGCTCACAATTACCATCTCCACAGCTGAATACAGGGACACCCGAAACAGCAAGTTAGCTTCCGGGTGGTCAACAGATATGAGCAAGCGCTCCACAATGCCGCAACTATAATGTCTTAAACACGTGGATTACACCCAAGCCAAACTGTCACACTTTCGATGTTCTGTTGAGTGGCACAAAAAAGCGTGGAAGGCCTCCCGTCTGCCAACCCGACCACACACGCACACCAACCGCAAACAAGATGCGCACGCACAATGTAGACGCCAGCACGCGTGGAACTACTTTGCGCCCATTTCTAGTAAGAAACCGAAACTTCTGAATTCAAGCCAGCGTGGCTGGCAGATGGCGTCACGGAGCTGTGAAGACAGGCGGGGTAGTGATAAAGGAAGGAGAGCATACTTGCGAGAGACACGCGAAGGAGTTGAGATAGAGTGATGAGAGGGGAGCATACAGCGGGAAGGCGACCTTGAAAACCAAAACACGCGGGAAGAAGGCAGGTCAGGTAGCTTGCTAGTGGGGTCCACGAAATGCGCAACTCGTGTGTAGGAAAACTTGAGAGAGCGGTCTTCGCGCGCAAAGGTCGACGAAGCACCTTGTGGTGCCGGCAAACTTGTGCTGCCTCACCAACTTCAATAATTTGTGAAACGTTCCATGTAAAAGGCGCTTTTACGCTTCTGAATGCGTGCAAAGATCGCGCTCACACCCGAGTGTCAAGTGAGCAAGAACAGGTCTTAAACATGGAACGAATCACAAGTTATCAAAGTCGGTGGGTAGCGAAAGCGCGTGCACTGGAACAATACGACACTGATGCAGAGAAGACATATATGCAGACGATCGGGTACAGTCTATGATCGATGATGTTGGCAAATGGTTTGGTCACTCCAGGCCAGGGATGCCAACGATAGTGTAACAAAATCAGCAATCAAAAGTTGAGGGGAAGCTAGTTGGCCCATCAGTCTTCGAAAGATCGGTAGCCGAGTGAAAACGTGGGCCTCGTCTGGCGATGTGGGGTACTCAGAGTAGCGGGGGGATAAAGGATGGAGGGGGTGCATAAGAAAAACCGGTCGTGGAGAGCGACAAGTAGAGGGCTGCGGAGGCAGGGTCGGCGTTTAATACAGTCAACTGCCGATTTTTCGGACACCTGAATTTTCGGACATGCCCGATAATTTAGACATCTTTGCGGCACCGCCACGAGCTCCATAGAATCAATGTATAAGGACTCCATAGAATCAATGTATAATCGCGTGTGACCACCACAACTGTGTCACACGCGATTACGATCACATAAATGAGCACACCGGTCTACTGTGGCGGCATCTGTTGCTTGGACTTGTTGGTCGTTAGCGGAGAAACATACACGACCTCCGAGATTCCTAACACTGGCCGTGTTTATCGTGCAAGGGTGCTTCGCTGACAATCGAAACTATTCACCCAGAAATTTTTTGGCGCCAATAAAGTTCCTTTCGCTTTAGTGCTTGTGTTCGTGCGTGCCACTCTGGCTTCCCGCGCAGCGCTTTCGCGAAGCGTTTCACCACTTCGAACTAAAACTAACCGTCACGCACCGATTTGGTCTGACCACGCTGGCTATCTCGAATGTTTACCAGCGCCACCTCCGAGTACCCGAGGCACCGTCGCCTGCCGTCGTGCCGTTTTGTTTGCGCAACCCACATGGTGTTTGGCTAGCCTAGTGCGTGGTTGTGCGATCGTGTGAAGTGCACTCTGCAACGCTAAGCCAAGGTGCTTCGACGCTCGTCAGCAAACTCCTTTGTTCACATCGCGAGGATTTCCCTTGCCTGCGATGGCCCCCACTCTGCCTTCGTCGTCCTCGCCGATGGCATCGAAGCGCGGAAAACAGTACCGTCGGTTAGCGATGGAGAAGAAAGCCGCCATTATTAAGTTAGTGAAGAGTGGCCGATCGCAGGTTGATGTGAGCAAGGAGTTCGGCATTTCCAAGCAAACAGTTTCCGACTTCCTGAGGAACAAAGACAAGATTGTGGAAGCGGCCGAAAAACCGTCTGGTGCCCAAAAGATGAATGCAAGCCAAGGTGTTCATCCAAATCTTGAGTACGCTCCTGTCGTGTGGCTTAATTCAATGATTGCCAAGCGGTTGCCAGTTTCAGGCTGCATCTTGAGACAAAAAGCGGAAACTCGCATGCTTCGAATGGACATCACGAATTTTAAGTTCAGTGATGGATGGCTGAGAAACTTTAAGCATCGGAATGACCTCAAGTTCAAGAAGATGTGTGGTGAAAGCGGCGCCGTCGACAGTGCAGTTATTGCGCAGTACCGCAGTGGAAAACTCCAGTCTTTGTTGCAGCAGTTCTCTGCTGACAGCATTTTCAACTGCGACGAAACTGCTTGTTTTACAAGCTGCTGCCGGAAAGAACACTCGCTTTTGCAGGTGACGCATGCCATGATGGCAAGCATAGCAAAGAACGACTGACCGTTCTTGTCGGCAGCAACATGTCTGGCAGCGAGAAACTTCCTTTGTTAGTAATCGGGAAGTCTAAGAGCCCGAGGTGTTTTAAAGGGGCAACACTGCCAGCGTTATATGAAGCCAACAAAAAGGCATGGGTAACGCAGTAGTTGTTCGAGAGTTACGTCCGCAGGTTGGACAGGAAGTTTGAACAACAGAACAGACGTGTTCTGCTCTTCGTTGACAACTGTGCTGCTCATGGTCACATTAATAACTTGAAGGCTATTATCCAGCTGGAATTCATTCCACCCAACACGACTGCGATCCTCCAACCAATGGACCAAGGCGTTATTCGTTATCTGAAACTTTTGTATTGTTCACGTATACTCAACCGCATGGTGCTGTGCTCGGAAAACGGTAAAGGCTACAGCGTTGACCTTCGGTCTGCTGTCGGAATGCTTGCGAACGCATGGAAGGCAGTAACGCAAGACACGCTTTGCCACTGCTTTCGCCACGCGGGCTTCGTACTAAACACAGAGGCAGCAGGCTTGCCTAAAGAAAGCGAGAGTGTGACTGACTTGTGCCCTCTCATGGACGATATTATCAACGACCTCCGCTCTGCTGGTGCTTCCATGCCCACGAAAATAACTTTTGAGTGGTTCGTTGACGCTGACAACGAGCTCGACTTCTGCGCAGAGCTAACCGATGACGAAATAGTCAGTCAGGTTATGGCGGATTCAGATGACTCTGATGCCGAAAAAGAGGAACCAACGCCTGCGCCACCTACGACCGCCGAATTGATGCGAGCATTGATGACGCTGTCATCGGTGTACAGGGATGACATGACCCTCCCTTGCTCAGATCGAAGCGAATGTGATCACATGCAAGCAGAACGCCGTTCAAACAAGGATCAACAAGTTTTTCAAGCCACTGCAGCTCTAACACCGGCTGCTCTGACGGCACCCGCTGTCGGCTGCATGCATTTTTTTTTAACAGCTCTATTCAGAGCCACCCCACTGATGCTTTGGCAGAGTTCCGGAAGTCTGGTACTTCGACCTTGACCCTCTTGATCTGAGAAATATCAATAAAATGATGTGTTTTTTGCTTGCATTGAGAAATATTAGCAAATTGGCACGTTTTTTTGCTTGCATAGAAAATTATCTGTAAAATAATGCTTTTTTTTTTTGCTTGCATTGATTTTTTTGGACTGCCCGAATTTTCGGACGGTTTTTCGCTCCCTAGAGAGTCCGAAAAATCGGCAGCTGACTGTAATAGGAACCTATGCACATCTCGCTGATGGCTTATCTGTGGTCAAAAGTGGTTTCCCAGTAAGTTGCCCGAGCGCCGACTCTGTTCACTGTAACCGATCCACGACGCTCAGAGATGTTTGTTGTAAGTGGGATTTTGAGCAATTGAAATAATGTCAATTTCCACGGTTATGCAGGTATTGTTCATTTTAGAGCGAAAGTTAGTTTTAAGCGGAGCCTCTATATGTGGGCTCGGCTGCATGTACATATCTGGGAAAGAAACTCTGAATGGTCATCTATCTACGATTTTCTACATTGGCAGTGAGAGACCTTACAACCATCTTCAACATGACATCCCATAATTAAAAACAGTCTGACCAAATCCAAAGAACGTCTATGTGTAAAGTTCTGTATGGGGGGAAACCCAACGTGTCAAGAAGTGTAACTCAATAAGCAATTGTATCGGGCCAGTTTGTTTTGACTTTCGTTTTGACTTTTTGTTAGCTTCACACTTACATTAGCTTATTTCGCAGGCTTTTCTGTGGCAGTATGACTGTTTTAACCATAACTCTAAAGGCGGTTGCAACCTAAGAAAAAAATGTAAGCTTTGCCTACAGCACTGCGGCAGGCCTGCCCTTCACCTGTGAAATACAATTGTGCTAGTAGCTGGTTTCTGTTGAAACCACTGGTACTTGTTATCAGCTGATGTAAATATACTATGCATATTAAGAGCTAACAGCTCACTATTACTACCCAAAACATTACATTCAGCTGAGCAGCACCGTCAGAATTCCTGTCTAAGCTTATCAGGAGGTTCAAGTTTCCGACCTACAACTAGTGACATCAACTTGCAATGGTACGGAAAAATCAACTATCTAAAACGCTTGAAAAGTGCTGTACGCCCTGAAAAAAGTAGGCTTTATTGAATGGAGCATTTTGCAAATTCCTTTTTGGGAGGGGCAGTGATGACTGTGAGTGGAGGTGAGATTTTTTTTTTTCTAAGGCTGTAACAGACCATAGAGACCTTAACATTTTATGCGATAAGCCTAATTAAAGGAACACTGACACAAAAACTTTGCATCTTGCTTTTTCAGTTGTAATATGTAGCTAATGACCCACTTATCATGGCTAGAAAGCTTGTTTGCTCGAAAGCACAATGGTCAATTATTTGGAGATGGTTTTATGCCCCCCAGTTGGAGTTTTGGTTCCAGAGAGTGCCAAGTGAGACGGGACCCAGGGTGGTTCCCATGTAAACAAAGCTGGCCACGTGAGCACAAAAAAAAAAATGGTGCGCACATGAGTGCCATCTTGACAAATCTATTCAACAAAGGCTCCCTTTGAGCCCTTGTAAATATGTGTGACCCACCAAAAAGTGCACTGCTCAAGCAAGGACATCAGCCTTTGTACTCTGAGACAAGCCTGTCTCCTCTGTCCATTGGAAAGGTCTCCTAGAGAAGAGTGCCCGAGGGCCATGACAGCCAGCACAAACTTGTGATACAGGTGGTGATTGGTTGCTTACATGGTAACCAGAGGCGTGTTTCATGTGTGGTGCTGCGACACACACTTTAAAATTGATTTAAAATACATTCTAGGCTACATCACCCATTTATATGTTATAGATAATGTGTGTGTGCCCAAACAAATCTATCCCACAAGTTCTTTCGCCTTCAAAATTTTGTGTCAGTGCTCCTTCTAATGAGCTTGCAAAACTATATCCCTCAAAAGTCTGTAATCATCTTCTTACAGAACAGCTTTCAGCAGTATAAGCATTCTTTCAGAAAAGCTCTTCCGCCTGTTTCACTTTTGTGAATGGTGCACAGAGCCGACAATACCAACCTGTGATGGACAGGAAGGTGCCCGCTGGACGCCCACGGGCCGCCCTGGGGCAGGCCGGGCAGGTGCAGGTCTGGCAGGTGCTGGGCGGGTTGGAGTGATGTGGCTGTTGCTTGAGCTCTGCAGCACAGGTCCAGAGATGTCCACGCTACGAAAACTGCCACGCTCACGGCTCACACTGCGGTGTGGTTTCTGATGCTGTGGTGGTGGCAATGGTGGTGCGCTGGGTACTAGTGGCTCCTGTGGTGCCATGTGTTGCGCGACTGGGCTTGATATGTTGAGTGCCTTGATAGCTTCGGCATCAATGTTGAACTTGGACAGAGGCCGACCTCCACGCCTGTCAAGGCCCACCTGCTGTGCACGACTCCTGGTAACGGACAGAGCGCATTAGACAAGGCCTAGACAGTGCGCAGTCAATGATTGCCTACAAAACGTTAGGCACGTTATTGTTCCTATACTGTTACCAGTTCCAAGTTACTTGGTTCGACTATACTTTATTGGCCTGAGAGTGCCGCTGAATTTGTTGTTGCATGCACAAACACCTGCACAAAAGCGTTAATGAACTTGATGCACAGCTGCTTCTAGCTGTGGCTGAAGTCTGACAGGGACTCTTGACTTTCATCTTGCTGCAAGGTCACAGAACTGCCTACCATAAGGGCAACTTTGTACAAGCTCAGCCACTCCTCAGGTACATATGAGAAAATTAACCCGCGAAAAACAAAGAGTATTTAGAATTTATTTTTTTTTTAGAATTTTTCAGGTGACTGTGTGCACTTCTTGCTACCATTTGACATTCAATTCTCGAGTTTCAGTTTCTGAACATAGAACCATGTGTGCAGCAGTGTTATCAAGTAACTAGCACATAGATATTGAAATGTGATAATAAAGAAACAACTTACTTTATTGCTGCCTTGCGAGCCTTCGTCATCCACCATGTTTTTAGATGACGCCGGAAGTAGTAGATGGAGAAACTGGTGATCACAGCCAGAGGCACAATGCACAGGAAAATGATGTACATGGACACCATAAAACTGTAACCAGCTGAAAGAAAACAGAAATAGGATATCAGTCAACCTACTTACAACTAACAGAGACAATTTCTTATCAGTGATGAGCATAAACTATCAAGTGGCATAATACTTACTCGACAATCAGCATAAACATAGTGTGAAGACTCTAACTAATAAAGCCCACTTGTACAAGTGCGACTCCAGTGAATCAGCTCTTTTGATTGATTTGATCTTGACCACAGCTTTTGGCCAGTGGCTAGGCAATTATACAGGACCAAACTTTGGCTTTATTGATGCTTAAATTAGCTTTTGCTGGGTAATTGGGACTTGGCTGACCATCTTAGAAGCACTTGATCCCTTGTGGTTACTATAGTAGTGCTTAGGGTACAGTGCATCATCTGCTGTGGAAAATGTATAGTTTTGACCTTGCTGAGAAATAATTTATTGTAGAAGCAATAGCAACCAATGAATAATTACTTTATTTAACTATTTTTTTTTTGGATGTCACATCCTGAAATTGCTTGGGTCTTATAAAAAATTGAAAATATATTTGTAACAACCTGTTGTCAGGGCCAGCCTGAACAGTGTTATCACCATTGCCTTCATGAGTGCAGATGGAGTCAGAATAAGTTTGAGCATAGCAATACAAATGTGCCACTTCCAATATTATCAAAAATACATATTTAAATGCTAGGTGAGTTGTTGCTAGCTTTATGATGGCTAGTTTGGTAAAGCAGCATGTTATAAATTAAACCATGGTTCCTGACCAAGTCAAAGGCATTAGTTAACATATTGAACGAGTATGGCTCCCTTGTTCACAACGCATTACAAGCAACACATGAACCAGAAGCAACGCAACAAGTTGCACCACGTGTTTTCATTCGTCTGGGAAATTAGATGCGTCGCAACACGGACTCAGTCTAGGCGTAAACCACCATCTTGTTTCTGATTGCTGAGCAGTTGTTTGGTAAATGGAGAATGTCAAGTGTTCTGTCAACCATATGGTGGACAACATAATTCATTTCTTCAAAACGATGGTGCACACCTTGAAGAACCCCTGACACCGAAAGTTTTGTTTGCCAGTTTTTACAGTAAATTGTAGCTTTGCGTCTGGTAATGCCAAAACTATATCGCAAATGCTCTAATGCATCATATAATTAATGCTAGTGGCATTAATTCAGGACCATCTTGCATCAGTTTGAAACGCCTACCTAAATACCATAAGAAACTAGCGTCCCATGGCAGAGCAGCGCTTGAGACTACGTGCCCTCAAGCTTCGGTGACCCTGAAACATGCTGTTTTCAAATAAGAGGACCTGCAGGCATTGAAGAATGGAACGATGTGGGTGCTTTGAGCGTATCCTCGCCAGAAAAAAGAAAAGCATTCCTGGCGTAAGCAGCCTAAACGACCTTGAGAGCAGCCTGACAACAGAGCAAGAGGGGTGTCGAACAACAGTGCTCGCCAGGTGCCAGTGGGGGTATTGTTCTTGACTTCAGCAATGTCACAGGGGGATTCCCTGTCTACGTGAAACCACAGAAAATATCGATTGTACCTGGTTACTTGGAGGAGCACGCACGCTTACTTTAAAACCAAATTAAGATATCTTCTAGGCATTGCTCGTAAAAATCGGTCCGAGGTGGCTCCGAATGCAGGACCCTCAAACAACCCAAGCATCTCGAGTTTTCGAATTTGGTGTCAGGGGTCCTTTAAGAGTGATGACGACTAACATTAAGCAAAGAAAGTCTCATTCTGTGAAAATAAAGCCCAATGGTTTTATATGGTATGTTGTTTGTGCTAAAGTACTTGCTGCACATTTAGTAATTTTCATGCAATTCGGGCACTCTAGTGTAATTTTTATGCTTTCTACTTTGAACCTACATGATGTGGTGCATCATCCATTCAAGAATGCGCTGTATAGGAGCAAGTGCAGCCAACTTGGTCAGCACTATATTTTGCAGTTTCTTCTGCCTCCCACTTGATTTCATTCACAGGATAATTCCACCAGGTTAAATCAACAATGTCAGCAAAACTGTCTACACAAAGTCAGCATTCATTTCTGTACCGGTTGAAAAATGTTACAAAGAAGGTTGCCAATAGCGGTTCATGAGCCAAATGGCTAAAAGCCTCAGTGCCTTGTAGGCAGTGGTGAGCACAGCTTATTAAGGAGAGGTGAGAGTCGAAAAAAGCAATTTTTTTTTGTTTTTATTTGCTTTCACAAGTTAAATTCTTCTATTTTCACGCACACACAGAAAAAAACCTGAAGATTATAATTAAACTCGAAGTAGGTTTAAAATCGCTTTTAAAGAGCACAAGGTGGCTGCTAAAAAAACTCGTGCTCATAGTCTAGAGTCACCTGGAAATCGTCACCTGGTTGCTTGCCATTGCATTTTGCATGAGGATTTTGCATGAAGAAAAACAAGGGTTGTCAAGCTATCACGATGGAAAAAATCATCTAAAAAAAGGCATATCTTTTCCCCACAAATGAGCTTGCACTCATACCTTTCATATGAGTTTTTCTCAAGATCCATTTTTGGGCAACTTTTTTAGTTTAGACATCATGATTTTGATACTTCTGACAGCCCGCTCAAGACGAAACTTTGACCACATATTTCTTGAAGGGTGCAAGTATTTTCTTTAAAGCTTCATATAATTCATATATTTATTACAAACTTAAAAGTAAGCAACTAGTATGAGCTGAGGATTCTAAGAATTCTTACATTACAATTTTTACTTGACTATCAAAATGTCTTATATGCACTCTTTTTAAAATTTATTTGTATTCTACAGTTAATGTGGAGCAATATGAGCCAATAATGGCTCAGAACCACAAATGTTTAGTGGCATAAAAAGTTTGTCCAAAACAATGCTTTACACATTGTCATGGCACAAAACGAAAACTGTGGAACTTATTATAAAACTACATAATTACATATTTTCGATCAGCATACAAGCCTAAATATACAGCAAAAGTTTCATTGCCCTAGGCTGCAGATTAATGCAACATTTTTTCCGAATTGTATCTTCTCTTAATGAGGCCCTTGAACACTTTTCAGGCCACAGCCTCACTGTTGCAGGTTGCATAGTCTGGTCATTGGCGGTGCTTTCAGTACAGATCAGAGCACTAATACAAAAAATATTTTTCATAGTATTTTATATCTACAAGCAAATCACTACATTGCTGCTGATTGCATCATTGCCTTGTGGTGCTCAGTGGAAGGATTTCTCCCAGAAATGATACCACCACTCACACACCCTTGATTGGTTAAAAACGAAGTTGCAGATAACCACTAAAACTTGTGCTTGAAAATTATTTTCACTTTGCTTTTTGCACTTTCTGCACTCCTGCAGAAACGGCGACAAAAAAGCACTGCAACTTAAAACATCGTGGGGGTGTTGAGTGCACTGTCCCCTCTGGTTTCCAAGCATTGCTACAATTTACAAAAATGTGTGCACACCTGCCTGTGCATTCATACACAACTTTATCACCTGAAGCAATAGTACTAGCCGGCTTAGTTGGAACAAATTAATCTTTTAGCCACTTTGCACGAGACAAGCAAGGACGAATAAAGGAGATTAACAAAAGTTTTTGTTTGTCTCGCACAAAGTGGCTAAAACAAGGAATTATCACCTCATTTTGTAAATGAAGTACATGTGTGCGTGTCGCTCCAGCACAACCACAGTATAACCATGGCACATGGCTCCACGCTTTTTCACACCCACCCATACTAAGAGCACCATCAGCATACCAGATAGAACAGGCAACCATGATGTGCAATCTTCCTTCAGATGGCTGTTAGAATTCTTACGATTGGCAATGAGGAACGAACTGGGTTAGAGATAAAAGTGCGAGATTCAAGTGCAGGGCTTTTTTGTTCATGCTAGGTTACACAATACATATTCCTTTTGTCACCACTGTTGCTCTATTTATCTATGCAACCATTATTCTGCAGAACTAGCAACTAAAATTCATGGCTTAAAAAAGCTTTGAGGACCCCTTTAAAGGGATACTAAAAAGGAATGCCAGAGCAAGTTAGACTGACAAAGAATGACGTCAGCGTCGCCGTCACTCCCTGTATGTGTATAAGGATCTATATATATGAAAATGCAAGAAAGAAAAAAAAACCAGAAAAGGACTCCGGCGAGTGCAATCAAACATAGATTCTGTGAATCGGGAGTTCCAGGCGTTAACCATTGAGCCACCTGGGAGCACATCCTTCAACGTTCTAACGGCAAGCTATTTATATCTACCACTTACCGCTGCTGACGGGCATCTCGGGGGAATTATCGTGTTTTCAGCATTACCAGCAAGATGGCACAATGAGGGCGTGCGCTCTAATCTCTCACGTGTACTTTGCCCTGCTTAAAGGAGGGGAGCCACGACGCTCCCTCGCGTGCCCTTATCTGCGGTAGGGACGATGGGAGGATCGATTGTACATCTTGGCTGGCCTCAGGCTTTACCTGGAACGATTCTGTTGTATTTACAGGGCGCACAAAGGTCACTGCAATCATTGCAGCCTCCGTTTGTGAAAAGCGCGCACTTTTCAGACACAGCGAAGTAACTGAGATGCTTATTTGTGTGCCTCTGTACCTGTGAGTACATTTCGTGTGTCATTTGTGCGTGAGAAACGCGGAACAGGTTTCAATCTGCTTTCCATTCTGCGCGTGACCTTCGAATTTGTTGCTATCGCGTTCATTGCTTCATCTTTGCGGCAAAGCTGTGACTTTTTTTAAATTTTTTAGGAAGAGGTTGATTACCAAGAGAAAAAATGGGGGCCAGATCTTCATTTCGCAGTTTTACTGAGATTCTGATGGAGGAAAGGTGGAATAATAGGAAGGACATACAAATGCTGAGAAGCCAATAAGATTGTTCACACGCCTGATGTCTCAAAATTGGACTGTCTGAAAATCTGGTGTGGTGCCTTGCTACAATCAGTAACAATGCCAATATTTAAAGCTTCAATACAAAGGTGTGAAATAATCAAAATTTTGAATATTATTCTAATAGCGTTTGCCATTCAAATCGATTTTCACTGGAATTTTACTTTTTACAACTATTGCCCAAAACAAATACAGTCACATCAGATTAACAGTGGCCCTTCCAAATTTTCAATATGTCTCCCCTCATTACATTTTTGTATTGCAGCAAAGCTGCCTTTTAGGCTCTACTATAGTCAAATGTGTTGAGCCAAGAAAACGCTTGTTCCAACATGGAGATAGATGTGGCAGAGGTGGGGGGCTCAATAGTGTTTTGGACCTGAAATTTAGGCAGGAAGTCCGAAAAACTGGATGCCAAAAATTTTCAAAGCACCTTAAATCGATCTCATAATAATCCAAAGGACTTGTGCGACCACTTCAATGAGTGGGCAAAAAATTGTGAAAATTATTTCAAGACCTTCTTCTCTATATGACAGTGGCTGCTAATTAGACCAAAGGCTTTTTTTCACTGCAGTCATGATCTCAACACTTTTTTTTCACAATAGTACACCCAAGAGCAAAAGTTCGCAGGATGCAAAATGTTTGAAAAAGCTATATTCTCACTTCATGTCAGAATATAACCTCTAAATAATTGTTTCAGCTTGAAGTTCATTAAAATAACCAGCTAAATTATAAATAAAGTAATAGAGAAGAAATTGCAGCTGTTGGGAAGCTGACACACCATAAACTTTTGTTGTTAGCGTGTATGTGTCCACTGTGGCAAGGCAGCATTATATATCCAGTGGCTGCCGTGTTGCAGGTTAGTTTAAAATTATCATAAAAGTTTGCAAATAGTTCAGTTTTTTTCTTCTAGTTTATAGGATCTAAAATTTCGGCTCCTGATTCAGATTCCAAGAATTTTAAGCCGAGAATTCGGTTTCGGCATTGCGTGGCGCTATCATCATCAGGCTTCTTCATTAGGTAGCGTTAGCGTTAGTCACACTTCCCGACACCCATGATTGTACCAAATGTACTTCTCTGTGCAATGTGAGGACCGCAAAAGCAGTATTCAACTGCCTATAAAAGCAAGGCGATCTCAGCTGCCAAAAAATATTTTATGCAGCATTTTAGACTTTTAGACCCTGCGGGAATGTGTACAGCAACCGCAAGACAGGGTGCTGTGGGAGGCCATGTCTGACTACGGAGTTTCGAAATAAAGTGCATCAGATGACGATGAACAAGTGTGTGAATTATGCAAATTAGTTCGGTGGATCCCCGCAAGGTGGCAGAAGAGTTAAGAAAGAGTAAATATACAATCACCAGTTTATAGCACGAAGCCACAAGGCAATTCGGCGATCGTCTATTTTTCCTTTCTTAAGTGAGTGAATACTAAATGTTTTTAGTTCCCCTTTTCCTTGGGCTATATTGGAGTGAAAAGTTTTTTACTTCAATTTGTTATCCCCGAAACAGACGTCGTACTATATGCAGGTTCAAACTAAATGCGAGTTTTAAGATAAGTCTCAAAGGAACTGTTGAAGAACAAGAAACATTGTCCTAATGTCACTTATAATTTGTAGAACTGAATGGTAAATAATGCATTAATGCTAATATAACTATGGTGCAGTCACTGCCAGAGGACAATAGTATATGTGGAATACATTTAGACTGTTCCAGCCCACGCTCTCAGAAGGATCAAAGTTAATATACAATAGTAAGTTTCTTTATGAAAATAAGATATATATCAGAGAAAATAGTACATGCTAATGTAAAAATATTCCTTCAGCTCCTGATACAAGGCAACTGTTCTCGAAAGGTCTTTGCCAGCACATGAGCCTGTAGATACCTGAGGGGTCTGATGCAGGCCCACTGTCTGAACTGCCACCAGGCCCTGGATAATTGCAGTATGGAGGTGCGTAGCCCACCATGCAATGGCAGTTACCACGACTGTTGCAAACCTGCGCAAGATAACAGATCAATGTGTTCATCATAGCTTCTGCAGCACGGTAACTGTTTCACTAAAAAAAAACCCGTACTGCAAGCCCTGCAGTTTTACCAAAATTGCTTCAGCAGTATATACTACAGTCAATTCCGGATATATTGAACTTGAATATATCGAATTATTGGCTATTTCAAACAATTGAGAAATCCCCTTGAATTTCTCATGCAAAATTATGGGAATACAGCATACGTATATTGAACTCCCACACAGCAGAACATCTGCTATATGAAACACTGTGCTGCACTAAAATGCTTGAAAAAACTTGCGTTTACAGCATTGTCAGCGTTTTGTGTCTCGTAATAAGCAGTCACATTGACTGCAATCATTGACAGCAAAAACTATACGTAATATTGTATGAAACTTTATGGCAAAATCTTTAGACAAATACTTATCATTTTTTGGCCACATTCTATTCTAACGTATATTCGCCTCCACAATCTTTCACATGCACTGGTCACCGTCATAAAAAACAGTAATGCCCACACTTGTGGCAATAAATAGCCAATATTCCATCACAGGCCCTTTCCACTCTGTTTGCATGCTCGCACAGACGGTGGTTTAAACACAGAAAACCAGTTTTTCCAATATAAGGCTGCCCCCACGAGAGTGGCAACTTGTACAGGACCTTCCATGCAATCAACATTTTTGGTGTATTACTCCACATTCTTCCTTTTTAGGTATAAATGGGCTTGTGGCGATACAGAGGTTTGACAGTTATTCTCAATTCGATATACCTATGTCTCGTTTTGATAATAAAAATTCAATTAGAAGTTTGCACCAATTTTTGTATGTTTTGTCAGTTGTCTAAAAACATTTTGTGGAAAAATTAGTTGATCATGAAGTATCAACTAGCCCGAACCCACACCTTGTGGTCACGATGTGTTGAAATATAACCACTAAACAAAACCTGTTTAGATTTCAGAATTGGTGACCAGATTTTAGTCATTTTGGCGATCGCTATTGACGTGTTCTTGAAATCCTGTGTGCCAAATCTTCAAAAACAGCCCATACATGAGATGTGGAAAGGAGTCCTTTTAAATTGTAACGTACATTTTCTGACAATATGTACAAACTACAGCCGCTGATTCACCCACCCCTCACTTTTACCTTAACCCTGTACCAAGTGGCCTTTGTAGTAGTAAAATGCACGACTGTGGCCCACTGACTAAAGTAAGTTTGAGACCCCTGATTTGAAGTGACCCCTGATTTGAAGTGAACAACAACCACTTAGAACATGGATTGAGATAACACATTGAAGAATTGTCTATTGTAGTGTCTAAAATAAATTCTGTTTTTCTTATTAACTGCAAATTACTATTTTTATTTCTTCACTCTTTTCAAAATTACTTTTGGCACCTCTGGCAGAAAAAAAAGTGAATGTGCACATGTATACTTATCATGCGACCTTTTACTGGTGCCCACTATCAGTTATTGCTATATTAGCATTGCAATGCAGGACACTTTCTATTACAATCTTTTTCCACATAAAGCGTGCAAATATGCACTCGTCTGTACTGAGCACAACAGTGGCACCACCTTCGCTTGACATATGGGCCAGATGCTCATGAGAAGCAGCATGAACGTTGTTAGCTGAGGGCGTCGGCAGCTGTTAACATGTTGGAAAAGTACAAAGAGCCCCTTGCGTTCTCTGCAATTACCTCCAATGGCGTGTTGCTAGAACTAATCACAGAGGCCACAAGCACCAAGCTCGCGAGGCTGTAAAGAGATCTCGTGACAACGAATATTCTGAAAACTTATTTCTAAATACTTTTATATTCCCAGCTTATTGAGCATGTCAATATAAAGGTGGTTAACTCGTTTCAACCACTCATGAAAGTTAAACCTTGAGTATAATGCAAGAAGGGTCATCAGCATTGCTATTGTTTCACAGCATTGCTAGAGGACATCGTCAAATTCAGGGGCTTTTAGGATCGAAAAATACTAATAATAAAATAACCAAACACTTTTGAAATTAGCTGCTGTAGCTAAAAACACTACAAACAGTGAGATTTCCACTGCACTGCAAAAAACTGGGACGAGAAAAAATCCGTTGTCAGTCCCTTCAGCCCATATTAACGCTATGCGCTACATGAAATTCTTTTGGCTTAGCACATGATGCACCAGTGCTGCAAAAAGAACTTTGCCAGATCAACATCAAATCTCGTTTGCCAGATTTCAGGATCATCGAAGTTAATTTGTTCAACATAAAAAAAGTGGCCCTTTCTCAGACTGCCATATGATTTGAGCGTTACTGTGGAACTTTCTATATAACATTTCGAATTCTGAGGTGACTGCACCTTGCATAAAAAGTCAAACTTCGACTCAAACAAGGTTTCATATAATGAAGTAAAGTGCAGATATACTAATTCCATATATCAAGGTTTTGCTCTACATGTCAACCAAACACATAATACATCCACAATAAATACCTAAAGATAAGCAGCATTGACACAAAATTAAGGTATTAAAACTGCAAAAAGAAAGACTTGAAACTTACCCCATTATTGTAACAGTCATAAGGACATTTGATTCCATACAGTTTTTCAATCGGCACACACTTTTGGTTCATACAAGCCTGCAAAATAGTGAGAGAATGAAGTTTGTGAGCAGAACTATTCTGAATTGCTTCTCTTCACAAGTCGCCCATCAATCTGTCACTAGCATAACATTTACAGGCTAATACAAAAATTCACTTCACTACTTTGAACAAAACAGTAAAATCAGAATCGGAACATTATCTCAAACAATTATATTACGTGATACACCCTTTCAGCAGGCGGATTACTTTTTTTTTTTTTTTTTCAGGTGGATTGGCTAGTCTTGGTAACACTCTGGTTAATGTCCCGATTTGTCCAGTGACAACGTGTGAATATGCGTCATGGACCTTGCAGCCCTATGAAGGAAAAAAAGCTAGATTATTTTCAGCTGTGGTGTTAAGAAAGTTCTGAAAATCCTATGGACTGATAAGATTATGATCACCGATAACATTATGATCACTGATCAACAAATTCAAAGGTTTTTGAAAAATACAGAGGTAGAGAAGATTTAGAGCCTGCATGGTGTTTCTAGGCATAGGGTTCCTAAAGCAGATAGAAGTTCAGTGTACCACTTTTATGCCAAGATGTGACAAAACTGAGCATGAGTAATGATGTCGGCCAACATTTGGATGATTACATGCTATACATAGGACTCAAAAGCCACTATAGCCAAAAAAAGCTTAAGGGCAGTGAAGCATTGTTTTTAAAATAGTTTTTGTTTAAAAGGGCCCAGCAAAACTACAAGTAATCATCAAATGGCTTCATTAACAGAGTTTATTGCTTCATGAATGGACTGCAAAAAAATCTTTTAGAATCTATTAAGTACAAGCTTTCTCTCCATCATACTAGCAAGCACGCTGAAAGCTATGAAGGGGAAATAACAAAGGGCGCAAGAAGGGACGTCAGTTCATAAGCATGTCTCGTGTTCTTGAGCACTTTCTTCTCACTTTTTTTCTTCTAACGCATGACTTATTTTCAGTATGATTTCAAGCGTACACGCAGGCGTGTGGCACCATTCTGCAGCGGCTGTGGTAACTATGCAGCTCACGATGCTCACTCAGCCCTCAGCTGTGGACTTTGGGTTTACGGCAACATGTGTAGAAAGGCTAGAGCGATTTCCAGCCGTCTTTGGGAATGAACTGGAAATTCCAGGCTGCATGCCACGCTGTAATATTTGGATCTCGTCTTCAAAGGAACCTCGACTACTCATATGCAGCGTTTTTTGACCGTGCTTTCACAAGTGTTGCCAGGCCTCTTAACACGCAGGTAGATGCCAATTTTGAAAACTATGAATGGTTATGATAAGCATCTCAACTACACATGTGCAGTATACCGCACGTTTATATGGTATTCTAACATTGCTCAGTCTTCGCATTTTGCATGAATGCCTGTAAATTATTGCATCTGTGCCACATTTATCCATTCTTCTCCGTACAATAGAAATGGTGTTAACGTAATACTGGATGTCCCATGAGGTAATTTGGAAGTCTATATTATCGGAGGGTTTTGAGAGAGTGATGCAAAGTTCCTAAAACCACCATATGATTATGAGAAACGTCGTAGTGGAGGGCTCAGGAAATTTCAACAACCTGGCGTTTTTTTAATGTGCACCCAAATCTGAGCACACGGGCCTACAGCATTTTCGCATCCATCGAAAATGCAGGCGGAATTCGATCCCGCGACCTGCGGGTCAGCAACCAAGTACCATAGCCACTAGACCACTGCGGCGGAGCTTATAGGAGGGTTTTAACTTTAATGCAATCTGTGAAATGCATGATGATGTCTGACAAGCAACATACCTCAGAATGTTGCTTGAGGTGCTTTTACATCATCTACAGGAGTGTAGCAAAGCAGCCACTCCAAACTTAGGATGACTTAGAATCATTCCACATTATCGGGACCCCGAAATGGAATGAGAATAAAAGGGCGACAACACTTGGATGCATGCAATATAATTTACTGCCTTTTGCACAGAATGCAATTGGAATAGAATTAAGTCTTTTATAAAATAGGGCACGTTTTCATCTACACGCTGTTTTTCAGACTTCAAACATTAGTAAGTCATTATGTTGCCTTCCTGATTTGCGCATCTGATACTTGTTTCTTTATTTTTTCTTTTTTCTTGTGTGTTATATATGTTGTACCCACCCCCTCTGTAATGCCCTACGGGCCCTGAGGGTATTCTAATAAATAAATAAATAAATAAAGTCAGAGCATAAAATCTAACAATAAGGCAGTGTTCTTGAATATCCTTAGCTGATAATAATAATAATATTAATACCTGGGGTTTTACATTCCACAACCATGATATGATTGTGAGGGATGCCGTAGTGGAGGGCTCTGGAAATTTGTGCACTGAATCGCACAGTATGTGACCCTCTACAATTGCACCTCCATCGAAATGCGACTGCCACAGCCGAAACAGAAGTCGCGACCTTCGAGTCAGCAGCCGAGGCACTTTAACCACTGCTACACCATGGCGGACAATGACATGGCTGATCACAAGCATGGTACATTTCTATGCAACGCGCTTACTAGAATTCTGGCCTTATATAAACTGCGTTGCTCTGACGTTAGTCCCTAGCCTTCATGTAACTGCGGCTCTATGCCGTTGATATCAGTCATCCGGAAATACGGCAGCAGCGTACCCCCCTTACGCCTTGCGATTTGTTTCCCTCTACGGCGCCCCACCCTACCGCTGTCTTCCCACCCTTCACTTCTTAATTTTTGCTTCTGTCGCCATCAGTGACTGAGACGCATATCTTAAATAACGCTTCTCTAAGTTAGGATGCATATTGATGCTGGGTAGATGCTTGTGTTCCCTGCAAGTTTTTGTATACCAGCTGGCAAGCCTTTCCTACGTTGAGAAATTACAGCAATGGAATTGAACTGCCCGGCCATTCCTGAAGTGGGAATGGGCTAAGTTTTTCAATTCTAAAAATTAAAAGAAATTGAATTGCGGCACATTCTAATCTCCTTGAATAGAATTGGAATGGAATGAAGGTGCCATTCCGCAACAATAATTTTGAGCTATGGTTTGGCTCCCCCCCCCCCCCTTTTCTTACATATTTATGTACAGTGCCATCTTCTTTATTATCGTTTGGTCTAATACTGCCTATTCCAACTAAATGTCACCAAGATTTAAAAATTTATGTAGCACCTTACATTATTGTCAACCATTCTAAAAACAGAGCATGCAAACACGAACACAAGAAAAAAGTCAAGATACCACAAATGCCAACTAACAACTGCAAAGATGCACAACAATGAAAAAGGAGGGTACAAAAACTTATCTGCGCATGCATGCAGTTCTACAAGACAAACAACTGTTAAGGCATTTGATTACTTCTTCATGGAAGTTGACCTATTGTTGATGCTCACGTGTGGTACTACTATTATCGGTATGCCAGGCCTCAATCATTAAACGAGTTTCTTCATTCCTGTGCTGGTACAAAACTTCGCATACATCAAGGTTTGACGTGCACTTGGACTCGCGGCAACGTAAAGAATTAATAGAAGGCGAGCCTCCAGTGAGTGATCCTTATCTTTTAAAATAAATGCTTGCCAAGTAACTAGCCCTGTCTAATAAGAAATAACAAAAAAACAGCCGTCTTTAATAATGAATATTTATCAACTAGGTCACCTATCTATTATTCTAATAACTAATGGTATTCATCGTATACTTATGAGTGTTGCTAATGCTCGTCAGCTCTCTTTAATCTTAAAAAATAGTCCAGTTTATATAGTTGTCAAATTTTTAATGAACTCATCTTCCAATTAGGTGTTGATACAAAAGTTCCTGCAATGCGTAAAACACTTCGAATTATCCTGTGTACTTGTGATCATGTTATCTTTTATTTTTACTTACGTCAGAAAATATTTATAATTGGAAGATTATTCAACTTCCCTTAGTTGAAATAAACAAATGACAAAGAGTGGCAGCACCTGTCGGAGCAGATATAAACCACCATATTCAGGTTGTCTTGCAATTTCAACACACCTGACCACGGCATTGTTTCCTATCAGTACCAGAACTAGTTAGCTATCCTCTGGCTGCCAGCAAGATGCTAGACGTTAGAAAATTGATGAGTCCCTCTATGTTTCCTTTATTTTTTTAGAAATGCATGTTTTTTTGCCCTTTCACCTCAATGTGGGCTGGCTAGTCAGCCTCAATTTTTAATGAGTTTGAATTTTAGGTTTTCCCAGATTATGCGTTTATTTTCCACATTTTTTTAAAACCTATCAATGAGATTCATTGTATTGACTTTTATTTCTGCAGGTGTTGCAAAATTAACATTTTTTCATACTCAACTTTACTAAGCAAGCGAATGCAAAACTAACTACCCTTGAGTAGACACTCAACAAAACAGCAAGCGAGTGAAGAAGCATCAATATAGCACTGCCCCCCTCACCGTTTTTTTTCACTTTTTAAGATTTGAAAAGCAACGGTTCGCACTGTAATTAACACGTTTATTAATTTGGAGGTGTCAACCATCAATCTTGGCTTAAAGGAGCACTGACATCAAATTTACTCATGCCAAGATTTTTGCGTCAGCAGGTAGCTATAGACCCCGTAGCAGCGATTCGTGACCTAAAACGCAACTGAGGGATGTATAACTATCACTTTTATTTATTTATATCACTGGTATCTAGCACTATTCAAAAGGGCCAGCAATCCCGCCATTTTTAGCGCTGGGAGCACCAGCAGTGGCGCTACCTCGCGGTCACCTCCAGACCGCGCCACAGCTCACCACTTCTCCACAGAAAAGAGTGACGTCAGGCTCAGCTGCTCCGCAAACATTTCATCTGCTAGGCGGACACACACAGTCATGCCTTGTCACCTGCATTGCTGTCGTCGCCCTACAAAGTGTCGACTCGGATTCAATACAGTAGTGTGCAGCTTCGAATCCCCGCGATTCGCGACGTCGCAAATTATTTTTGCTTGCATAGACCTTTTCCAGAACAGTGATTCCGAAATGGACGCCATTCCAAGCAGCACTGCAGAGGTGCCCGAGGATTCACGCTTCAGCCATGTTCGCTCGTGTGTTTCAGTTAGCTATATTGGTGTGTTTTGGCGTGCAAAGCATTCAGGTATATGCAGATGGGTCAATAGAATATAGCTATCGCAAATGAGCATCAGCGGAGAAATAGAATAGGTTTCCTGCTTGCCAGGTTCTTTTTTGCGCCTCCAGATGGCCCCACCTATCCAGCCTCTCACGGTTAACGGTATTACTACTTTTAAGTAGACGCAAAGTCTACAAATGAACCAAAATTCAACGATACCTGCGTGTTCCTTCTTAGCAATGATATCTGACTATACGCTGTACCACTTTTGATAGCTAGTGGTCGTGTTGATGAGTAACACATACGTGATATGAAAAGACACCCTCATTGCGTTTTTTTCGTGCTTCGAACTAGACGACAGCAACTCACCTGCAACTCACAACGATTACCCGACATGCTGACCGACAAACACACATTTAAGCATGCTCTTTTCTCTCGCCGATCGTTTAGAGGTGCTTTTTATCTTGATAATTTCACGAAATCATTCAAACCAGGGCGACGAAGATCAGACGCGACGAGCGACTGCGTTACTGCGCTTTGGCGCCAGTCGGCACTACGATAAGAACACCCGGATCGCACACGTCATCGCTACTAGGGCATCGTCACTCAGGATGGTATTTGTGGAATGTATCACACCGAACACGTAGCACTAGTGTCGATGTCACAGGGCAGTCTATTTTCTGTTTTTTCTCCTTAGCTTTTCTACGCTGTTTGACATCGAATAGAAATAACTTCTACGCGACAGATGCCGTTCAAATTTGGCCAAGAAGACCTATGCATACCAAGCGATCGAATGATGGGCACATCTCAATCTTGAAATTCGATGTCAGTGCTCCTTTAAAGCTTTCATTTGTCTTCCTTCAATAAGATAATTTTTATCTGCAGATGATCTTTAGTATAATTACCTTAACATGTAATGAAAACTTGATATGCAATCAAAAAAATGTCATCAAATATAATAGCTCTACTCACTAAACATTATGGCGACATACAATGTAAAAAGAAATGTTTTTTCAATCTATGCTAAAAAAAGTGTGTGTAGGTAAGCTGAGCTTATATATTCTTGCGTAAATATAATTTCTTTACACACTGAGAATGAAAACTACTTGCATGCATTATTGATTCACTAGCTATATGCTGAAGCTCATTGTGTAATTGGTGGAGGGATAAAGTGAAAGTCAAATTCTTCTGATGCCAAATGTACTAGCGCGTAGAAAAGACATTTGGAAATTCAAACAAAGAGCTTTGAATATGCATTTTTGGGCAGTGTTGTAAAAGAGTGCATCAAGAAGTAAACAAACCTTATTGGTACCACATTTTGCACCATTTGGAGACTGGCCAACATCAGCTGTGAATAAGCCCAAGTCCACAATTGCAGACCGGCAGGTGAATCGTTTGTCATTTTCGTCAATGTAAAACTTGGACTGGACAGCTGCAGACTCTATGCCAAACTCCAGCCGTTCATTCAGATGCACACAGTGCAATGTTCCACACATCACATCCTCCTTGTTGCATTTCTTGTAGGTCTTGTTGAGGCGATTGTATCCACAATTAGCATTTACTTCACCATCATCATTACGCTCGAAACACCGCTGGTCAGCCATACGTCCACTGGAACCCCACAGTAGCTGGCACTGGTCATCGTGAGAGCGACACTGCTTACCAAAGCAGTAGGCCTGCAAATAGCAAAATACACTTGTTCATGCCATGACTAGAAGCTTTCTCTGACAACATGATAGTGAAACAATTCAGCCTCATAAATCTTTACAACAAGGGTTTCAAACATGTATCCATACAGCTTTGCTTATTTCTTGGCTATAATACTGCATTTTAGGATCCTTAATGAAAGAAAAATTTATCTCGGTCAGATTAGCTTTTCCACGCTAACTTCATACTGCTATATTTTGACAAGCTTCTTTACAAATGGGAATACAGTAGACTCTCAGTACACTAGAATATGTTAAACAAAACTGCTTCTTAAAGTTTCACACTTGTATTCTACACCATTATTCATCTCTTCGTAAACGGAACTCCTGCTAAATGAAACATCTTTTTCCGGTCCCTCCAGGTTTCGTTTGATGAGAGTCTTCTGTACACTGCTCACTAAGATATTGCCCAGACAGTGGAGAAGAACAGCCACTGCAAAGTCAAGGAGCAGTCTTTCATAGCACTAAGTTAACTGCTATTTTGAAGTTTTTGCACCACACAGATGTTTGTGAGTTAAGATAAAGAATCACAGTCTGAGCAGGCCTGAACTTGGAGAAATTTTTTGGGTGAAGCGTTGGAACTTTTTCATAAAAATTGGGACATTCCTGAAAAATCCAGAACAGTCTGCAATTCTCAGGCAATGATGCACAAGTCGATAAAAACAACCCAGAACTCATTATTTAGGCCTCCAAAGAAGAGTTATCTAAAATGTATGCAGCCTAATACTGTATTAAGTTTGAGAGCTCAACTTCAAATGCATAGCTGCCAAATTTTAGCAAATTTTTTGCAAAATTTTTTACCAAATGCCCGATAAACTAGGCTTAAAATAGACAGTGACCTTCTAGCCTCACCCAGGCATTAAGAAAATGCCATTGACATGAAATGTTGTGGTCTTCAATTGATAGTGTTAGAAGTAAACGAAAGTGAAACAAAAGGCATAGGAGAGCATTTTTGTGCATTGAGCTTCCTACCTTGCCACCTCCACATTCTGTTCCATCTTGCACAAAAACATCCACAGGACAGAACTCTGACACTCCATCACAATACTCTGGCAAATCACACTCTGTTATGGCATCTCGACATAATGTGGCAGCCTTCACAACCTAAAAATAGAGAAAAAAGCAATCAGACTGCACACAAACTGAGAACGTCAGATGTGCGATAATAGAGAAACTTGTTTTCCCATTCAAAAGTTATGTACTAAATATACAAACTATTGATACTCTAGATAAACTATTGGAACTAGAATCGGAAATTACAAATTGCCACTTAAGGCTTAGCAAGTGAGAAACTCTATAAAAATATTACCTGGCATGTAGAAATGTCACAGCAAGCTCCAATAGCACATGCAGCATTTCCCTTGAACTTGCAGGTTGATGCTTCACAACATGGATTTTTGCAGAACTGTAGGCCCGGAATAAGAGGTATACATTTTTTTAAGTACCAACTTTTTACGATGACAGTTCAGTAAAACAAATCACCAAATGATTTTGCCCAATTTAGCCACACTTGTCACATTGTCACATAAATGCAAAAAACTGATGTTGAAACAGACAACTGAATGCTAGTTTTACATACAGCAAGCCACTACCACTAAACAAGGTGTGCCAATGCAGTCAACTTTCATGTAGCAAATCAGTTTTGTAGAATCCTGCAGAGGGGAAAAAGGATTACGAAAGGAGAAAACTGCCATCAACCCCTGGGATATTTCCTGAAACTGATTTGGCATATGCATAGTCCCGGCGCTTTGAGTCGCCGATTAATCAACTCTGATTTTGTAAACTGCTACCCCCTCCCTCAAAAAAATTTTTTTCATTGTATTACATTTTGCTATGAATAGTGTACTGCTCTATTTTGTTTTCTTCTTCTCAAATGACCAACAGTATTGGCCACTCTAAGCAGTAAGTGAATGCCTAGTGAATAGACTTCTTCTACACCAACATATATGCAGTCGATCCCGGAATCATATATACAGTCAATCCCGGATCTATTGAACTTGGATTTATCGAATGTTTGGCTATATCAAACAGTGGAGAAATCCCCTGAATTTCCCATGGAAAAGTATGGAATTGGTGCACACGTATATCAAACTCCCGCACAGTAGAACATGTGCTATATGAAACGCTGAGCTGCGCCGCAGCCCAGAAATTGCATTTTTCGTAACGAATGGTGATCATTATTTTGGCCACTTTCTAACAAGTTCCGATCTCTTTTCGAACACATTTGACAGAAAGACAGTGTTGAAAAGTGAAAAAACAAAACGCAATCGTATTGATTTAGTTCACTGAGCAGCGCTTGCGAGTGCACCGGTATATCGAAGTGCAATCTGCAGTGTTTCAACACGTGGGCATGATGTTTTTCAGAAAGACCAATTGCCAAGGGCACCAAAACGAAGTGATTCGGCGATCTCGTTGCCATGTTTTGCATTCCCTCGTGCACAATGAATGGTATGCGGGACCAAAAAGTATGGCCTTCCAAAATGTGCAACCTTGTGACTTATTTTGGTGTTTTTGATTAAAAACGCATATCTTGGAGGCTACGCTTTTTTTAGTTTTCGCACCAGTGCAGCGGCTGCCTGCTACGAAACAACAAAGCCACAAGCAGTGATGCCCCAGACCTACAGATTTTTCTGTAGATCTGTTAATTTTCTTAGCTACCTACGAATGCCTAAAAAAACAAAAATGCTATAGATATTTACAAAGTTGTAAAATTTTTTTTTTTCAGTAGGAACATTGCATTAGTCACATGCACACTTGAGCACACAGGATGTGAACGCACCCACTCGCGCATGTCCCATTCTTTTCATCTCTTTCAGCCTCACCCCCCCCCCCCCCCCGCTTAGTGGCGTGTCCTCCCCACGTTTCACCAAAATCTCGCATGTGTCTGCGAGTCTGAGGTGCGACCAGCTGCACCTCTATCAAGGTGGACTCTAGAGCAGGTGCTGGAAAAGCGTCAAGAAGTTCATGTGGCTACCGGGAACAAATAATTGTCTTTTTCGAGTGCTCGGAAAGCTATGCAAGAATATCATATAAAAGAGCAAGTGAGCATTATTAGGTACTAAAATAATCAGGCCAATACATGATTACAAAGGAGGGACATAACGAACATATCTGCTTGCTCTCGGTGTAGAGCTCTCAAGTTGTTGAATTCCCCACTTTGAAAGAGTGCTCACAAACGACCATTGGAATGTGCATTAGCAAATCTTGGAGGCAAACATTCAGCCACTGTGCTCTCTTTTACAGATTTGTGGTCGCATGCACCAAAAAACTTTGACTGCGCCACAAGCGGCGAACAACCGAAACTTTTTGAGTTGCGCATAGCCTCTGAAACCTGCCAGCGCACATCCTCGAAAGCCACAGGTGCGAAAAAAACAGAAGAAGCCACGGAACAAACACACATACGCCGCATCAATTGGAAATGGTTCTCGCCACTAAGGGTCCTCTAGCATTTGTGGAAAATGTGCATTATATTTATGTTATGCAACATTTTTGCTAAGTGCTTAATAACTAATAATACATAAAATAATAAAATAATTACTGACACAAGTAAATAATTTAATTTGTCATTAAATTGATTTTAATAGATCTACAAACTTTTCACAAAATCTGATTTTTAGCAGGTCTGGCTACGGATTTTGCCTTAGGGCCATCTGGCAGCACTGGCCACAAGTGACATAGCTATTCCCAACATGTCGACGGTGGGAGCTCACTCGTTTAGACAGTGGTGTCTTTTGCGGCTTGTCGACTTGTATACATCTCACTTAATTTCTGCAAAATCATCATTTAAGAGTCAGAACAATGATCCGCTTGTAGCGATAAAAATTATGACCGGTGCTAGGAGCACCGTCGTAGACTGTTTCCTTGCGGGCTTTGGCGAGTCATGACTGCTGCCAACGGCGTACAATGCCTCAGTGAATTCTACGACTTGTTACGGTTTCCGGGCGCCACCTTGGACAGAGAGAGACTTTATTTTCGCAGATGACGATGTCGCTGTTTCTGACTGCCCCTATGCTGAGAAGTTAAAAAAAGTGCTGTAACTTGCAAAAGAAGACATTCACACCTTTATCATACTGTGAGCGAATCGTTATGCAGGTGCTTGTTACATTTTTTGAAAACTGTTTCGAGGCCTGAGATGATCTAATTTATGCCTAAATATGCATATATTGTATTTCGAATGATCTAATATTTAACTATTCAGTGGCCCCCTTCGAGTTCGATATATCCGAGATCAACTGGGGTTCATAAAATCTCTTGAAAATGTTCCAGTGGGCTTATCAAAACATATCTGTAGCATGCATACAACCTCTGCAGCCCACAAATTTATGTATTGGATGACCACACACCTCTGCTGGTCCACAGTCGCACTGCTCGCCCTCTTCAAGGAACCCGTTGCCACAGACGGGACCCATGATGTCCTCAGGCAAGTTCCAAAGGCAGAAATCCATGCCCTGCTCAAATGAGGACTGCAAGTACTGTTTGGAGCAGGAGGACCACTGGCTAGGGCTGGGTGGGTTGCTAAAATGAAAAACAAAAAAAAAAAAAAAAAGATGGGGGGGGGGAGGGGCACATCACTTTTTATTCGCACATTATACACAAAAAGGCCTTTTTTGAATAAGTCTACAAATGTACAGAGACCAAACAATAACTTATGGAACATATTAGTCGACATCTGAACATTCAGTTCTCAAATCATGAGGTCAATTGCAAATCCGAACTGCTTCTAAACAATATAAATGGTCAACTAAAGCATAATCAAATATAAAACATTAGGGAAAAAGGGAACATTTTTATCATGATTAGAAAGGCATGGTACAGCATAATATACTATATTATAGTATAGTATTGTATGAATCAAATCAATCAAATCAAATCAAGTTTTATTATTTCATCATAAAGATGTACAAAAAAGAATATACAGAAAGAGGTCCCATAGTATACACTGAAATGGGACCTCCTATGAAATGTAAACACAAGTATTTGGTTAGCAACAACAGTACGAAACTAAGAGAATACAAGGTTTAAAGAATGAATTACAGATAGATATAAATGACAATGCTCTCATCAAGTAAAGGCAGTCGGAAATATAAACTATAAAATATGTTTCTATACTTCTATATAAATAGCATGACAAAAAAAAAAAAAACGAGACTGAAAAGAGAATGACATGGCGAGGGAGGAATCGGTTAGGCAGAAGAGTGAGTGTTGCATAACAAAAATTTTTTCAATTCATGGCAAAATTTATGTGGTTTTTGAATTTTTATTAGAAATGGCACTGTGTTCCATAATAATATGGCCGCAAAGTGAACCGTCTGTTTGCCATGATAAGTTCGTGCTTTGGGCAGAATGAAGTTATTACGCTGCGCAAAACGAGTTGGGTGTGTATTTAGTAAAGATGATGAATGAATCGATGATAACGATATTTGTTTATAATTACTTTGAAAAGAAAACTGGCGAGATTGAATTTAACAAGGCTGGCAACGTCGAGAATATTATTTTCTTGTAGCAACTGTTTAGCATTGTGGGTGGGTGAACTAAACGTGATTAATCGAATTATCTGGTTCTGAATGGTTTGTAGTGGTTTCAGATGAGTGGCGTACGTGTTACCCCATGAGGTTATGCAGTAATTGATTGACACACGCGAAATAAAGTGAGAGCAAGACCGGACGTGAAAAAAATGGACGTGCTCTGATAAGGATGCGTATTCCGTGAGATAACTTCTTTTTAAGTTGTGTGACATAATTTTGAAATTTTAAATGATGGTCAATATTCACCTCTTAGTAAACACATTCTTCACTTGCCTGTAATGCATGGTTATTAATGAATATGGGCGGAATACACAGTGGCGATTTATTTTGCGATAAAAACAAAAGGAATTTAGTTTTAGAGGGATTAATAGTAAGTGTATTAGTCTTACACCAACCCAACAGGTTATTGAGGTCACTGTTAAGCTTATTCACTACTACCGATATATTTTCATTAGAGTTAATAACTATAGTGTCATCAGCATATAATATGCACTTGGAGAAGGTAAGACAATTAGGCAGGTCATTAATATAAATAAAAAAAAAGCAAGGGGCCCAAAATTTACCCCTGAGGTACACCTATATTAGTAATTTCAGGTTTAGAATAAGCATTGCATATACTAACGACTTGGTACCTGTCTCGCAAGTAGTCCCGTAGCAGCAGTAAAGGAGGACCAGTTATGCCAATCGAGTATAGTTTAATTTTAAGAATGTCATGATCGATGGTATCGAATGCCCGCGTAAAGTCGACGAATAAAGAACCTGCATATTTACCGTCATCGATGGCTTTCTTTAGTTGGTCAGTAAGAGATATAAGTGCTAATTCAGTAGAATAACCTGATCTAAATCCAAATTGGTCTGTTGAAAGTATATCAAATTTGTTTATGTATTTTAACAATCGTTCCTCAATTATATTTTCAGTCACCTTGCTAAAAAAAGGTAAAACACAGATCGGTCTATAATTGGATACTAATGAGCGAACTCCTTTCTTAAAAACTGAAGTTATTCTACCTCGTTTGAGTTCTCGTGGAAAAATTCCCGTTTTAAACATGAGGTTGATGATGTGAGGCATGACAAATGATATCGGTTTACAGATTAATTTAATATGTTGTGGATGAATGTTATCTAGCCCTGCGCTGGTAATTTTTAAATTCTGAATTACTGATGCAACCTTGTCAGGAGTAGTTGGAAACATATAAAATGATTGTGATAAGCGTTGGGGGGCGTATAAAGATTGCTGTGCAGGTGGATCGACACCAGAAAATAAAAAATCACCTAAAAGCATCTGCAATCGTAAGTGGCATATTATAAGTATTATCATTATGGGATATTTGTGATATGTTATCGGTAGCTTGTTTTCTATTCAAAAATGAATTCACTATCTCCTATTTTTTCTTCACATCAGGACCACATTTAAGTATCTTTTCCTCGTTATATTTGGCTTTAGCTTCTTTAAGTCAACCAGACAGTGAGTTGGAAAATCTCTTATAGCGCGCACGTAAGTTTATATTGAAAGGCTGTTTTTTTGTTTTTGTTTTTAAAAAGATTTTCACGTGTGTTCACCACTTTGAGGAGATTTTCGGTGACCCAAGGGTTTCGCATAGATGCCACTTTCTTTTTGCATTTGCGCATTTGGGAGCACGATTGATATTGTGATAACAACTTTGTCAGAAATTGTGAGTAAGCTAACCGCGGATCATTCGTATTAAGAACAAAAGACCAGTCAGCATTGGAAACAGATTCTAAGACTGACTTTTTGTCAAAAACGAGTTTCGTGTAGCAATTGAAATATGAATAATGGGCAGATGTAGTGCACAGGAAGATGGGGAAGTAGTCCATAATGTCTGTTTCAAGAACTCCTACCCCAGGTGGATACAGAAGATTCGACAATGAATGATCGATCAGAGTGCTGGAACCACCGGGAACAGAGCGAGTAGGGACGCTAATAAGGCATTCATAACCAAAACTATGAAAATAGGATGAATAGCTAACAGAGTACACAGATGAATCCAATAGGTTTAAGTTTATATCACCCATAATTATAACATTTTTATTCTGTGTAGATAGCTTTGTCATCAATTTTCAAAGGAAACGCAAAAATCAGATCCAGAGGAAGAAGGTGATTGGTAAACACAGCCGAAAATAAAATTTCTAGTATCTATGTTCAGAAAGTTATGATCTAATTCTAACCAAACTGATTCGCAATTCTCAGTATTTAGCGTGAGGTCGTGTCTGCATTTGTACGGTATATCAGTCGAGATGTAGATAACAGCTCCGTCATGATTACTGGATAGACGGGCGTATTCAGATTTGTACGAAGGGAAACAATACAAGTTCTTATCAACGCCACTAAGCCAGGTTTCTGAGACAGCAATTATTGAAAAAGTAAAAGAAAGGGTGGAAAGCAGATTATTAAAGTCATTGTAGTGTTTGCGGAGGCTGCGTGCATTGAAATGAATAACAGAACGATTACTATTCGTGAAAAATTTGTTTAACTCACTCGTGCTGTAATATGAAGCCATGATAGAAGGATGAGAGTAAGGCAGGCACAAATCGAAATCAGGTTAGTTAGTTACCGTGAGGTCCGATTCCTCGGCTATGCGGTACACTTTGGTTTTCTCAGCTTTTCTGGCTTTGATATGGCAGTTGCTGATCCACAGAAATTGCCATTTGTGTTGTTTTTTCAAAGCCAGTGCCTTCGAGAAGAGCGCCTTGTTTCGCGGCGTCAAGTGCTTATTCACATAGACAGCACTGTCAACAGAAGGTTTCACACTAATGTCACTTAGGTGAAGCTTAGCTTTGTGTGCCTTACCGACAAATTCATCTTTTTTTGCTCGCGAACAGAACCTAGCTGCGATGTTTTTCTTGTCTTGAACTTTAGTGGGAACTTGGTGAGCGACATCGAAATGAGTCGCCGTTAGCAGGTACCGAATTTTTGTGCCAATGGTTTGCATGGCTGCAATGCAGTCTTCCCCTTAGGTACAGGGAACGCCCCTCACCTCAACATTGTTCATTCTAGAGTATTGTTCGAGCTCGGCCACCCTTAAGGACAGCGCTTTGTTTTCTGATATGAGCTTTTTGTTATCTGTTGTAAGCTTTAAGTTTTCATCACGCAGTTTTTCAATAATGTCATTTAAGACATCCAAACTTGATTCCAAGTTTTCTACTTGTTTCTTTAGCTCGACAGCATCAAAACCAGAGGACTGAAGCTTTACCAAAAATTTACCGAGAATATCGTCAGTGAGTTTGCTGCTTTCATTTTCCAATTTGGTCTCAAGTGCATCTAACCGCTTGGCAAGCTCTGCATTTGACGGCATATTGCAAAGAAAACGGCAACCAAACAACTGCAAAAGCAAAGGTACAGGAAGAAAAAGTGGTGGCAACGAAAAAGTAGTGGCACTACTATGCACTATACTGCAATCGGAGCGGTATAGTGCATAGTAGTGCGTTCAAGAAGCCAGGGTTTTTTCATCAAAGTCATTCATTTCATGCAAATCTTCAGCAGGCATGGTGGCAGTGGGTAGTATTTGGTAACACTCGCAAGCATTGCACCAGTGTTTTTTTTTTCTCCATAAATGAAATCTGAAAGTGTTTTGTTATAATATCAAGGCGAGACGCGAATAGGAAAATCGCGTTTTTTCCAGAAATTATCACTTTTTTGTTTTCAGTCGTATTAGATTCTTTAAACATTCATGTTTACCAGAAATAAATTTCAATCGGTAATTCGTGTCAGAAGTTACTGAAAAATGTGCTCAAGTAAGCCCCGGAGACCTAGAAAATAGCTGAAATCTGCCGAAATCGACGTTTTCCCGGCCCCGGTATCTTGAGGCAGCGGCACCGTGCGCCATTTGTAATCAATGAGGCGGGTAGAGTTGTCCATGCTCTCTCGAAGACAGGATCGGAAAGTCTCATCCGGAAAGAAAAAAATAGTCTAAAAAGCCTTTTTTGAACGCCCCTGCGTGCCGTTTGAATCGCGCGGCGCGTCACGTGGTG